ATTATTCATTGACGACGGATATCAAAGTTCTGAACTTTTCCATTGATTCGCATCAATACAATTGGTATTATTCATTCTTGTTTATTAATCAAGCTTTATTATTCCTTAATCAGAATTCATGTTTATATCTATTATGCTTTTGGAATTCATTATTGCTTTGATTATGAATATGTGTGAGTAGTCTCCTAGCTAGGGTTTCGGGATGAAACCCGGCCTAGGTAATCTATGTAATTGAGGATTGATTTTGATAAACGGATTGTGATTAAATTGATTATATGCGATTGCATGTTAATTCATTATAATAGGAGTAGCTAACCTAGAATCTTGAATTTGATTGCATGATATTCTTGATTTGAACAAGAGATTGTGAATTGAGTATTTCATTATTGAATGTGGTTTGATTATGTATCGAGTAATGTTAAGTGCATGAGAAATCCAAGCTTAGTATTGCCCGTTGTCTTCCTATCACATGATATTGATCAGACTTATAGTCTTTGCATATCCCGTTTGTCTCTGTGATTCCTTGTTGCTTAGTTACCAATGGTTAGGCGGATTCCCGTTCTCCCTAGTGTCTTAGTTTATCGATTTATTCCATCTTATTAGTAGTATTTTAGAATACCATTTTCCATTGATTTCGAACTAGCTTAGGTTTAAGATTGATTTGCAATTACTCTCGTTCCTCGTGGACCGAACCTTTATTTGCCATTGTACTTGGTTATAGGGTGTTCGTATAAGTATTGTTTGATTGAGAGTTAGATTGTAGCGACCGATTTAACCCTCGTCAATTCCCTAAAATTTCAAGACTTTTCGACATCGTGCTCCGAAACCTCCAAAAATTCTCAAAAAACGCGGATATTAGAATTCTATTTTTGAATTTTTTTAACTTTTTTACGCCCAAATTAAAAATCTCCAAAACGTTTATTATGGTCCCTAATACCCTCCGGCAGTCCAATTGGGTGGGTGGAACCATCCAATTTGCATTTAAACGGCCAATTTACCGATTTACAACTTGCACCGATTTTATTAACTCAAGCCTACCATGAATATTTATGACTGCATATAATGATCATATATGGTTCCAAACGGCATTATATGACCCCGAGATGTATTCTCTAAAATCTCAAGCCTTTTCGACACCGTGCCCTGAAACATCCAAAATTTCTCGAAAAACGTGGATATAAGCCTTCAATTTTGTAATTTTTTGACTTTTTTTTCGTCCGGAAATAAGAATTGCTAAAATTTTTACCATGGTCCCTAATACCCTCCAGGAGTCCAATTGGGTGGGTGTATCCATCCAATTTGCCTTTAAACGACCAATTCACCGGTTTACAACTTGCACCGATTTGATTAAATTAAATCAAGTCTACCACGAACATTTATGACAACATATAATGATCATAAATGGTTCTAAACGCTATTATATGATCCCGAGATGTATCTCCTAAAATTTCAAGGCTTTTCGATACCAGGCAATGAATCCTCAAAAAATTCTCAAAACGCGTGGATATTAGCCTTTAATTTTTGAAATTTTGGACTTTTTTCGTCTGGAAATAATAATTGCCGTAATTTTTACCATGATCCTTAATACCGTCCGGGAGTCCAATTGGGTGGGTTGAACCATCCAATTTGCCTTTAAACGACAAATTTACCGTTTTACAACTTGCACCAATTTCATTAACTCAAGTTTATCACGAACATTTATGACAATAAATAATGATCATATTTGGTTCCAAACGGAATTATATGACCCCAAGATGTATCCTCTAGAATTTCAAGACTTTTTGACACCGGACCCTGAATCCTTTAAAATATCTCAGAAAGCGTGAATATTAGCCTTCAATTTGAAATTTTTGACTTTTTTTCGCCCTGAAATAAAAATTGTCGAAATGTATATCATGGTCCCTAATACCCTATGGGAGTCCAATTAGGTTGGTGGAACCATTCAATTTGCCTTGAATTGGCCAATTTACCGGTTTACAACTTGCATGGATTTCATTAACTCAAGCCTACTACGAACATTTATGACAACAAATAATGATCATATATGGTTCCAAACGGCATTAAATGATCCCGAGAGGTATCCCATAGAATTACAAGACTTTTCGACAGCGGGTCACAAAACCTCCAAAATTTTTCAAAAAGAGTGGATATTAGCCTTCAATTTTGGAATTTTTTGATTTTTTTTTTCTTCCGGAAACAAAAATTGTCGTAATGTTTACCATAGTCCCTAGTCCTTCCATGCCTATTTCTTTTTCTCTCTATTATGTAAGTAATAAATGAAAGAAATAGGCATATAACTAAGGGACATAGGGAGTATGCGTTCTATTCACTTTTCACTTATCCTAACTTATAAAAAAATTAGTTTAGTACGTAAATTGTACATTGTAAATTGAAATTGAAATTAAATGGAGTAGCTCTTTATATGAATTTATTCTTGTTTTAGTTGTCTTAACTCTTAATACCACGTAAAAATTTATCAACTTTTTATATGAACTTTATTTTACTAAGATAAGTGGGATTGAATTAACAGAATGTCAATCTGCTTAGAACTTTAATTAATCTCAACTCCTTATTAATTATGTTGAAAACTCAAAAAAAAAAAAAAAAAACAGATCTGGAACCAAACAAATGGAGTTTTTGGTAAAAAGTTGAGCTCGATAAAAAAAATAAAAAAAGAACAATCAATAACAATGTTATCATCTTAATTAATGGTAGGTAGTAGTATAGTGCAATGAGGTCAGTGAGTTAATAAGAATTGCGTAAGCGGCATGTCCCATGAGCCATGACTAATTACAGGCATGTATGTGTACATTGCAGTATTGCACCATGTATTTGTACATGATTCCCTGCTTATCTTTGTACAATATTAATTTAGAATTCTACATTTTCTACCCTAAACAATAAAAATGACATCAATAAGACTGTCGGTTGGAATTTATAATCATCAAAACTTATAATTCCGTAGCCAAATCGTACAACATAAATATTTATTCTACCATGCACATTGCACAATATAAAGGGTACACTATTTGAAAAATATTGAGGGTTTATAATTCAAAGTGACATATATCGTTTGATGATAATTCAACAAGTGACATATGTAAGGTTGATCGCTAGAGAGAAATATTTTCGACATTTTAATCGTTGAATAAATTGTGCTCTCACAATAGGAGCATCAAAATCAGTTCCTAATCGATGAATAATATGACTATATATCCGTGTCCTACTAGTTAAAGTGCAAGGTTAGTTACTAGATTGAAGAAGACCTTTCTTTTTGAGAAGACGACAGAAGAATACAAATTATTAAGCAAGAAGAATATAATCTAAAGATTGATGATACCTTAGATATATAAAATTAAATTAAGTAATGAAGATAAGAGCAATTATGCAAAGAAAACAATGGGCAAGAACAACAAGACCAGTGAGACAAGAAAATGAAAGAAAAGTGTGAGTGAACAGTGAAAAGGGTCCCACAAAAGTATTCATCAAAATAATACACGTACTTCAAAGGGTTGAGCATTAAGACACTTGGGTGGCTTGTGAACTACTTAATCGCTAAGTTTTTAATTATTATATTTAACTTGATTGATAATTTCATCATCCATCTGTAATTTATATTATTATTTATTTTTATATTTAGCAATGATCATTCCATCAATCTTTTGCTTCCATTCTTTTAACATTAATTGGATGTCACAAAGAGAAAAGTTAAGGGAATCAATAAAAGTTGAATGCACAGTTTCACCCATTTTCACCCTGAGAAAATGATTGAAAGAATTTTACAAGTTCATGAATAGACTTGATTAATTCGTTAGGCTCATACTACTCGTATTATATATAACTTGATTAAATTCGAGTTCGATGTTATAGTTGATCATTATGAAATGAACGATTAGGATTACATGAAGGAGAGAAACAGGGGAACAAAAAAGGTGCAATTGAGATTAGGCCAAACAAGAAGAAACCGACACTACTTAATATATATAGGTGAATAAGGTGATTATGAATCATGTACTGTAATAATTTGCAAAAAAACAAACTAATGGTAATATAGGGTAGTTAAGATCAAAATCAAAAGTTAAACAATCTAACTAGAAATTTATCACCAAAAATTATCATTCAACCGACACTACTTAATATATATAGGTGAATAAGGTGATTATGAATCATGTACTGTAATAATTTGCAAGAAAAACAAACTAATGGTAATATAGGGTAGTTAAGATCAAAATCAAAAGTTAAACAATCTAACCAGAAATTTATCACCAAAAATTATCATTCACCTAATTTTAAAGACAATGCACCAATAAATGCCAATGTAATTTGGGATAGTTTATTATTAAGTGTAACATTTCCACCATGCATTATACTTATTCCAACCCATATTTGTACAAATATCAGTGTGTAAATTAAGTGTTCACCTACTGTTAATTAAATCACATCACCTTCACTTTATTTGCTCTGCCCCCTTTTTTTTATTTGTAAGGAGGACACCTGATTTCCTCCAGAAACCCTACCACCTCTGTGAGTTATGTAATTTATGTTCCCTTTTATGTTTCCTTAAAATTACGATACTAGTTTAACTTGTATACTTTGTAAATACACTTTTAATCATTGATATTCTTTGCTCACATAGTACTACTACTGTATTATGTTAAAAAAAAATTAATACCAAGGGCTTTGTTCTGATTACTGATTGGAGCTGAACTGTATTAGAAAATAAACTGAAATGAAAATAAGTTGAAGAGAACAAGCCTCAGTATATAAAATTTGATCATGAAAATAGTCATATAATATAAATTAAGACAGTCCAACATCTTCAACAATAACACCATGTTTTTTTTACAACGATAAATATAGATGATCAAAATTTGAGGTGTCAAAACCTCTAACTAATCCAAGCCGAAACCTACCCTAATATATTCGATTTAGATTTTAACTTGCATAGACACAATAATTTAACATGATTCATGATTGAAATTAAGCTCGACTCAACTTCATGGAACCCAAATTAATTTGCCACCGCCTCTAATCAAAATCAGTATGAGTTGTACATATGAATAATGGAAAAGTTAAACAATAAGAACACGAAGGAAAATGAGAGGAGTAAATTGGGTCGGAATTACAAGCACTACAAGGCTAGGCAAGCCGAATAGACACTGTAAAAATAGAATTACTCTGTACTTAAAATCCGTAAAAAAGATAAATAACTTTCCAGGTTGGCAGACCCAAACTCCAACTCATTAAACCGCACTCCAAGGTCATCAGAGTAACGGCTCCATCTCCATCCCCCCCAGCTGGACTCCAACCACTCATCTCCGGCGCACCTTTATCTACATTGCGCCTCCTCTCTTGCGCATTTTAGCTTTTTTTTTTGTCGGTAGATTTAGATATTTATTGAAAGCAGAGGACGAATTTTATTTGTACAGAAATACTGCCTATATATCCAGTAGTATCAAATTACATTATGCTTCATTTTTTTTCTTCTGCAATATATGAAAATGGAACAAATAATTGAACATTAAATTAAAAAATTTAATTAAAATCAGCGAATTTTCTACCGGGATGTGTATACGTGCGGAATATTGACGATGAGCTTCCTTCTTCACACGTGCGACTAAAAATCGCCGAGTTTCCGATGAGAACGTAATTTCGGAATGTCGTCATCTTCAACTTCCTCTTGCAAATTCCGTAAGCTTCGTATCGCAAATACGCCGTTTCCTTTTAATTTATTATCAGCTCTTCCAATGTCGTCAATGTCGGTCGAATCTACAAAGATTGATAATCAAATTAATTCATCTATATATTATACGGAGCATAAAATTGATATATTTGAAGTCATCATCACTTTTACCTATGAATTTCTCTGGTTGATTGAACAGATTAAACTGCGCCAACTCTGCAGAAGAATACCAAAAAGACGACGAAAATGTCAATTTGTATAGTTTAATCGGAAGAATAATTGAAGAATGAAGATGAAATTGAATTTACCTTTGGTAGAAGGATCGTGAGAGGAGAGATATAAGATGAAGAAGCAGAGAAGAATGAGGATAGGAATGAGATGAACAAATTTCTCAGGCTGAGAATGACATCGGAGAGGTTTTTCCGGCTTAATTTCGTCGTCATCGTCGCCGGAAAGTGAGGACGGAATTGATTCGCGTCGTTTAAGGTCGTCGGAAATTGAAGCGGCGTCGTCTTTGGATAATACTGCTCCTCTGACAGGAGAGCCTAACGATTGCCGCTGCATGTTTAGAGGAGAGAGAAAGAGATGAGGGAAGAGAGAGAAAGAGAATAGCTGGAGAGAGAGAGTAAGAGATGATAATGGTCTGAGAGAGTCTCAGTCGAGGTTTTAGTTGGAGGAGCGCATTATTTAGAGCGGAAAATTTATTTCTTTTTGGTTTTTTCCCCTTTCCACTTCAGAATTTTATTAATTAATGTGAATTATTTGATACTCCGTATAAATTATTTTTAGCAATTTGATTATCGGAATATATATATTGTATTTAATTACAGAGTATATTTTCAAACAAATACAGAAAGTTTTAGAGTCTTTGATCATCTAATTTGTACTTATCTAAAATATAAAAGGAATTTAGACAGGTTTTGAAAAAAAAAATCGTAAAATCGCACAAAAAAAAATATTTTTAGAGAAAATAAATTCAAATAAGCTAAAAGTTGAAATGAACCTTATCTTATAATGATTTATTTCGATATATAAGTTCAAATAATGTATATTCACCTCAATGAAAATAAGCTCAAAGAATACGTTGGATAATGTTACTTTATTCGCTAGATAGGACAATGATTCTAAATACTTGTTGTGAAATTAATATTGTGATAATTGATAGAGAATACATCAAGAAAATATTAGTGGATTATGAAATACGAGATAAAATATATTTTTTATTATGTAAAAAAAATATTTTTTCATGAAAATATATTTTTATTATGACATAGGAGCCAAGTAGTATTTCTTAACATAGAAAAGTAAAGATTGTCATCTCTATATTACAATCGTTTACAAATATGAACAATGATTAAGATTTGGTAAGAATCAATTGAGTTGATTATGAGTATATGACCTATGATTATCTAAAGTAATTTCAATTAACTTATGGTAAATAACAAGAGTAATTGGTAAAAAGTCAAAATTAAAGACAGTTAAAGTGGAAATAGGGATTAGGGCATTTGATTGGCGGGCCCATAAGCTTGTCGTAGAAGGGAGGATACTTTTTTTTTTATATCGTTTGTGATAATTGCAATTTGCATGTGACTTTAGGTTGTAAAAATGGTAGGCCCATTATAATACAAGTAAAGGTTAAGCGGAGGTAAAGTAAGTTGGTTAATTTGTGGTCAGCCCAATTTTATCCAATCCGTCGGTGACCGTTGGCTTTTCGGTTTGTTTATTTTTGAGGATGAAGGTGACCGTTGGAAGTGTGTGATGAGAGTGTTTACTTTATGTAGTTATCAATGGTTATGAACGTTTTACACTTTTACGTTTCATTTTATGAATGGTTGGAGCTTGTGTACGTAGTTTATGGGAGAGTGAAATGCAAAAATTGTCTTAAGCTCAATTATTGATTTGATGATGTTGTATTGTTGTTGATTAGGGATTATTACGGATTAGATTAAGCAATTTTAACATTGGTAGATTTCAATTACAAGTAGTTTAACGTATATGGTTTTGAGGATGGTACATAAAATGTGATATTTAGTCTTATCTATGCATACTTTTTTATAGGCTAAACAACTTACACTCATACGATAACGTAGAGTTGTATAACTCATATAAAAAGCTTGAAATGATAGGTTAAATCTAATGTGTGCAGTCCAGACAAATTTCGGAGGGATGATATTAGATGAGAATTTTGAGGGAAAATTGTTTGAGTTATAGGAGAGTACTTAAACCTAGGTTTTGACTAATTTTCTTAATATACTATTCAAAAATCAAAATATAATATAATAAATGGACTTCAAATAGTATGGTTTGTCTTGACAAATTTAGTGTATGCTACGTTTTACATAAGATGCTAGCTTCCAATCTTCCATATAAAAATTGCCATTTTCCATATCAATGGGTTGCTATTTGCTAACCTTTTTCAACATCTCTCATAACTTTTAATTTTTGAATCGATTCATCACTTTGATTACAAAAGTTGGGTAGATTGTGGATCACTGGTTTCTTTTATCATCATAACTTATTGGAGAAGAATAAACTTTTTATTGTTATCTTTGTGGATAAGGAAGAACTTGTGGCAACTTACAAGAACAACATACTAGAAATGATATGCGTATATAACCAATATTTAGATTTCACAAAGTATTAAGGGGGCGTTTTGTTCGCAGAGTGGTATAGGTTTGGAATAAGGAATAGGGTTAATATGGTATCGGGTTGGAACTTGATACTTAATACCATGTGTTTGGTTCAATTCTGAAATGAAATATCATCCCCTTAGTTTCATATATTTAATACCTAAAGGAATGGAATGAGTCAAACACACTCTTCTCCCAAGGTTTCTAAACCCCATACCTAATGGGAGGTATGGGTTTAAAAACCATATTTTTGACAACCAAACATATGGTATGAGTTTGGATCATTCTAACCCATACCTAATACCTATAATCCGCGAACCAAACGCCCCCTAAGTGAGTTTGTTTCATCATGAATCCATCCACCCAACACCTAAAATTTCAAAACTCATATGCCTATTAAGGTCTGTTCTCTTCAGATTATTTTAAATCAGTTCAGTTTACTTCTCTCGTAAAATATTCAGTTCAATTCAGTTCAGCACAGCACAGCCTAGTTCAGTCAATCAGAACATACCCTAATTTATACTCCATTCATTTCATTTGTTTAGAAGTATACCTCATCTTTCTTCATAACTCTTTAGATGTTACTTTCTCTGGATCATCAAACAATGAAATTCAAAATGTGTAACCCAGGAAATGATGAACTATGGGTTTGATTCTTTTAAAAAAATGATGCATGGTATAAATAAAGCCCAAAGATACTGAAAAGCCCAATCTTTCAATACAGAACCAGCCCAGTTGCCCAACAAAATATAGTAATTTTTATAATCCAAAATAACAAGACCAAGACCTCCATTTTTCTGAGTGCAGACCATTTAAAAACCAACTGCGCCTCCAATTTTCTGAAAAAAAAAAACAAAAATAGGAAGAAATTTCTGGCGGTACTTTTGACGATCTTGTAACTTGCTATAATAGAAATCTCACTCCACTTCTTCTTCTTCTTCTTCTTCTTCGATCAACCCAGAAAAACTTGAGCAGAAAGATAAACAAAAAAACCAGAAATGGTGTTATGGGAGATAACATTAGCGACGGCCTATTTCTTGGGATTGAAACGAACTTATAGACTTGCTTTGAAGATTCAACGTCGTCTTATTTCGCATAAACACCTTAAGATTCGTAATTTTGCTCAAAGGTTTCTTTCTTTTTCTTCATTTCTATACTTTCTTCTTATGCTTGTTGATTTTAATTGGCAAAATGTGATTATTTGTATCATCATAAGACATTATAATATGTGAAATTAGTGATAATCTACTATTATAGTGTTGAATGTTGGATTGATTTTTTATTTTTTGGGAATTGATGTTGAATGTTGATGATTTGGGGTTTTAGCAGAAGTTTTAGGGTTCATTGTAGCTCTTTCAGTAGGTTAATTAGGCGGTGGTTGCAATTTGGGTTTTGATTTAGAATATGCTCCAGGTTTCTTGTTAACGAATGATGAATAAAGGAATATTCTCTAGTTTAATTTTATCTTTGTATTTGTTTTCTTCTAGTTTGTTTGTTTGGTATGCTTATGTGCTTAGCTATTTGGACCATTAACTGTGTGAAGAAGGATTGGCCGATTCACAAACGATTCTCATGTACAAACTTTGCAACATTTGTTATAATGTTGGCTATCAATGCTCCAATTGGAAATAGATTAGCTCTAGATTAGGTATATATAGTCCAAGTAGTGAAGTGATTTGTCAACTCAACTCGTGTGTTGGAGCTAATACATTTGTAAGTGTTAGGATCAATCCTTTGCATTTAATTAAGAACCCTTCAGCAAAATGAAGTTTAGGGGTGCGGAGGACATGGTACTTGTAATCTTGTATCTCATGAGACGAAGAAAGTAAAAAAAAGTATTAGATGTATGGAGTTGGTTAGGTTAGGAAATTGGTTACTGACTAATCTATTTCTCTAGTTCTAGGAACTTTGGTCTTCTAAGGATAAAGTGAAGGAGGCAGATTGGGAGACAAGTTTATGCAGTTTGCATTATGGACGTACTGCACTTTTGGTCATCACTCATCAGCAGTATTGTAAATCATAAGACAACGAGTGATGGTCCCGATACCTTTGAAGTTGGTTTCACCCTTTATCTGAAGTAAACAATCAATAGTGGGATTTGCATAGAGGAGTAGAGGGTAAGAAAATGTTTGAAATGCCAAAACTAGCTTACTTTCATGCTGGATTGCTGATATTTTGTCTTTAGTATCTAAGATAGCAAGGCTTGGATTTTATATTGCATAGCCCTGGGTTTTGTACTGGATTTGCTGTCCAATAATTGCAATATGAGTGTATTTTGGTGCATGATTACATGCTGTTTGATATTTCATTGCTTGCTGCAAACTGCGGTAGAGCAGGCATAGCAAGAAATATCTCTGCTATGTAAAACCATACATATCTATTTTCTAATTCATTGGAGCCGTATGAGATTTGTTACTTCTCTGTAAATTAAATGATTACCTTTATGACAACCACTCTGAGCTGCATCTCTGATGTCTTGAATCTAGATAAGCACGTTTATGAGCATGTCAGAATATTGAGATAATGTTTTATAATGGATGAAAAGCCTGCTGAAAGACCCTTAATGTTTTCTTCAGACCGAGAATCTGTCTTGCTAGCTCGTAGAGGTATGCTGAGTCCTTTGTTCCAATTATCCATCAAAGATCATCATCTTTATACCTTTTGCAAAGACGCTGCTAGCTTAAAATATTTTCCTCATACCTTGCTTTTTTTTCATTTGCCATTTGCTAGTTGCAAGTTGCAAGTTGCAAGTTGCAAGCAGTCTACATTTTACTTGCCATAGCTCTACAAATTATGTCATATTTCTATTTTTCTTTGCTTCACAGACTATGTACGTAGTACTTGCAACCAGTGTCTAGAGAATGTTAACCAGTTAGTGATTTGCTGCTTCTTATATTCTGTCTTTTAGGAATTTTCTTCCTCTGTTTGCTCTTTGCTCATTCAAGTTGAAAAACAATATATTCTTTGAAGGGTTGATCATTTCTAAATGGTATATGTACCTGAGTGGATTCCATTTAGGGTGCTGTAGTTTAGTCTAGTCTATTTATTTGTGAAGAATTGTTTTTTTTAAAAAATTTTCTTGAAGAACTGGTCACAGCTTCAATATCTCATCAAATTCTATTTTCGAGGCTCACTTGGGAATATGACTCCATGTTATGGACTTATGGGTCATTATTTCTTATCTTATGGTCTTGAAACGAAGAAACAAGTGCAGGCCAGGCAACATTTCCTTTATGTAAAATGCTGTATTTATCAACATAGTTGTGGAAAAAAGGAACTTTTTTTACCCTAGATCATGGCCAAAGTCATCCTCTACTATGAGGAAACAATTTTGTTAGAACTAAGATCATGTTGATGCTGTTAATGTGCTCTTGTTTATTCTTCTATGGTTTCAGTTTTCCAGGGATGTTCATTTGCTCATTTGGTGCTAATAATTTCTCAAAAACCATCATTTGGCTCTAGTAAAATTGGCACAATAGCATATCAAGCAAATAATGTTGATAAATGCGTTTTTTTTGCTGAAGTTAGGGCCTGTTCTCATACGTTGAAATTCAGTTCAGCTCAGCTTTGCTCAGCTCAGTTCAGTTCAGCTCCTAATTTCCTTCTCTTATAAAATATTCAGTTCAGATGAGTTCAGTCAATGAGAACATACCCTTAAATGGTGTCTTCATGATTTTCCTAAGTATTTTAAGGGGGTTGTTGGTAAATGAAGAATTGGTGAGGATTACCCAGTAGAAGGTTTTGGGAGTGTCTTATGTTAGATTAAGTTTGAAGATTTTCCCCTGCCAGGCTACTTTTCAAATAGTATTAATAAAGTCCATGGTGATGTCACTTATGTGCTGCTAACTTAAATTACTGTATTATATTTTATTCAGACGAACCAGAGCTGTATTTGATGTAGCACTAAGGGTTCATCAGAACATTCAAGATAGAGACATACAAGTAGGTCGAAATGTTGGGAACTGGATCCTCAGATGGCTCGACAAGATGAAACCATCAGCCAATATCCGTGGTGCACCCCATGAGTTGCCTCCAGGAAATCACAACCAAGGCACTACCATGACAAAGCAATCAGACTATCACCAGAAAAACAATGGCAACACCCAGAAATTCAGCACCAGAAGTTCTGAAAAGGGTTCTGATCGGCATCTGTTTTCTGCTACTAGACCTACATGGTCTACAGCTTTTCCCTCCATCACAATCATGGCACGGCATCCGAAGTCCGTTGGCTCCCAGTACAGGCAACTTTTCCTCAGTGGCCCTCAATGGTTGGCACCAAGCAGTGGAAGTTCGGGATATAGAAGGGTCATTAGAGAGGATATCAGGCTGTGGATGCAACAGAATTAGCCTCTTTGATCAGCCTTTATCCTTCCTCTTCTATGTTGATAATCTACTGAAGTCTGTTGGACTTGGACATCTTGTGGCCAATGTCATAAAGTTAGAATTATTTTTTTTATTTTTATTTTTATTTGTTTCCCTGTTTGTTAATTGTTTTTATCCCAGTGAATCGCTCTCAGAAAATTACTGTAATTAGGTGGTGTTAACATCGGAGTCAATTTCATCAAGTCTGTGAACATGATGTCAATTTTGTGTACCTTTAAGGGCTTAAACCTTAGTATTATATACTCCTGGATCATGGTACTCCCTACTCAATATACTTGAGTTATTTTGCCTAAGTGTTAGGTTGATCAATGTTTAAAAAAAAACATGCAAATACAAAATAACATATACTTATTTTAAAAATAACATGTATATAAATTAAAATAACAAGAAATTCATATTAAAATAACAAAAAATTTATAAACCTGGAATACCATGCACACGGTACTCCAGGAGTAACATAGAATTTGCGCCTATCCAAATTAGAAAAAGAATAAAACAACCTAATAACGGCAGCACTACTTGCCGGAAAATTCTCAACAGTCTACAGTGAGCTTCAAAGGAGTAACATCGGCCACTCCCTTAAACTTCATCCTCAAAAAAAATTAAAAGAATATGAATAGCTAATTAAGCTATAGCAAGTGCATTATTATGTTGGTTATTGTCGTTAAAAACTTGGAGGAAAACAAAGCCAATCTTTCTTTCTTGTCCAAACCTAAAGGACCATAACTGACTAACATCACCTAGTTTAAGACCAATTTTGTTAACCACATCCATCCAACCACCTTGCAGCACTAGATTCTTCTTCTCTTTCGTATTCTTTGGCCACATTGATAGATATAGCTCTCTCTCTTCTTTGTTTCGCAATAGTAAAGTCACATTAATATCGCCGCCTTCTTTCAATGTTTTTACTTCTTCACCTGTTAAAATAAGTCCATTATGCTCGCGCATGTCCCTCTTCGGAATCAATAATCGATTTTGTCGATCCCACAAATCCGCATAAGGTATGTATTTTTGCATTACAAGCTTAGGCACCTCACCTCCCATAACCACTGCTTTCTCTACCAGTTCACTTGGAAGATTAGGGGGGGTTAAATTTTGCCTTTTTCTTTTCTCTTTTTTTGCTTCTTTGATGACTTATTATGGCCTTGTTCCAAAGAACGACGTCTCTTTAGCACCCTTTTTTTTTTTTATTTTTTTATTTTCTTGATTTACAACAAGTGAATTATTATTTGTCATAACACTTGCATAAATCTTCAGGGATGATAGCCTTATCGACGTTGTCATTATTTTTTCTTCGTGCATAAATCTTTTTACCAAAAAGTATAATCATAGTAATAGTATCATTATTATTACTACTACATGCTTCTTCAGGGTTGTTGACATTGTCTTTACTATTTCCTTCTGCAAATATCTCTTTTCCAAAAAGCTTAATCGATTTCACCATTATTGCAACGGATGATCTTTGAAGTTAGAAGCTAGTTGAAAATATTATGAAAAGGTACGTGAGAAAGAAAAATATTGGTGTATGAAAATTGTAAGTGAAACTCAATTATTTGGGTCAGTATATATAATACTATTAACCGCTTTATGATTTATGGAAATAAGTTTGGGATAATGCTAATGTTAGTCCTAATTCTAATCAAAATGGAATAATGCTATTTTTTTTTTTGGTGTTTAAAGAGCCACAAGGGCAGGATGAGAATTGATTCCAGAATCTCCTGGAACCGGAAGGGAAACTCTAACCACTTGAGCTATCCTTCACTCTCAAATGGGATAATGCTAATGCTAGTCCGGCCGGCCTAATTCTAATTAAAGTTGACACTAACTTTTTAAATAAAATTATTTGTACAATTGTGTTGTAAAGTTGCCAAAGTTATCAAACATTATCCAAGTTAGATTAAAATTACCCCAATATAAACCTTGAGTCTATAATATATTATCGGTGTATGAAAATTGTAAGTGAGAAAACTCAAATATTTGGATCAATATATATAATACTCTGACCGTTTTATTTATGAAAACAAACTTTAGATAATGCTAAGAGCATCAACACTGGTGGTATGATTTTATACCACGGTGTAAATATTCATCCAAAATATGATATATTTTACTACAATGATGGTGTAAAAGTATACTATGGAATGATATATACCATCTCATGGTAAACATTTGCTTTGGTCCCCGTGTAACATAAACCAACCAGGTTAAAGTAAATAATCATAAAAAAAAATATCATTGTTCATAATTTTTCAAGACCTACACATAGACACCCATATTGATATAGTTTTAATTCTAATAATAAAATAAAATATAATTATAATTAAATTAGTTGTATAATCAATACGTATAGGAGAAAGAAAGTGTGGTGGTAAACTTTTTTTATACCATGGGTGAGGTAATTTTTGGAGAAAATATATTGTATTGTGGTATAAATAATGTGGAGGAGTGAGAAAGTGATAGAGAGAGAGGAATGGTATAAATTTTTATACCATGAGTGATGATGGTCTTAATGCGAATGTAATCTTAATTCTAATTTAAGTGGGTTAACTCCACCGTCACAATTTTTTATCCATCCAACAAATAAATCTACAAAAGATCTTAACGGCGTGTAGTCGACGGCCGGCGACTTCCTAGCGCGTTCATCTCCGACGGATCACAGTTTTACCCTTAATTGGTATTTCTCTCTCCTCTAAACCCTAATTTTATCTTCAATCATCAATTGTATGCAATCCTTAGGCAATTCGATCTAATTTTGTAATTAAAGACTTGGAAGTTTCCTAATTTCTTTTTCTATCTATATGATTTAAGAAAATTTAGGGATTTTAGTTCTATTCAAAATAAAAAATCAAAATTGGATTTCAATTGTTAATTGCTTGGGCTTACTCTCAATTTTTCCTCAATTTTCCCCAATTCGATCTAGTTCTATAATTAAAGACTTGAATGTGCTTTCGATTGATCTTAACTGTAGACTATTAATTTACATTGCAAATCAAATTTGGTTTTTATAGGGTTGATTCCGAATTTACAATTTTACATGTATGATAGTGTAATATTCAGCTCCATTGAGTTCTTGAGACTATTAACGGTTAAGTTTTGACGTCTTTGTTTGTTTGGCTTGTATCAGTTACATCATGATATGAAAATAGTCAGTTTGATGTTGATTTCTGCTTGATGTTTTTTCAATTTGTGTGGTTGATTCAATTGCTTCTCCATATGCCTCCTGTCATTTTTTTCACACTCGCATTACACAAATTCTCTTCTATATTTGGAAGTGGATGATTAAGATTGGATGAATTGGACGATATTAGTGTAATTAGGCATTCTGCTTATTTGCCTTTGTGAAACAAGCTCTCACAACACAGTTTACACAGAATATAGAACATAGTTGCTACGACTGAGGAGCGTACACTGATGGAGCTTGCAGACAGGGCTGTTGGTTTTCTGTTGTGTTGTATCAGCTTATCAATATTCACGTACTATACTTTATGGGTTATCATCCTGGTAAGTTCAAATCTGATTAATTTTTCATATATAGTCTGTATGAGCTTATGTTATGTAACAAAATTCTTCATGGATCATTGCAGCCATTTGTTGACAGCGACCACTTCATCCACCAGTATTTCTTACCTCAGGAGTATGCGATCATCATCCCTGTTCTTGCTGGTGTTACACTTCTTTGTTTTCTCAGCGTCTTCATTGGATCTGTAATGTTGAAATCCAAAAAGAAGAAGGCTTAATCTCATTTGTCTTCATTTTTTTTTCCCTTTTGCTTTCAAATTTTTCATGAAGGTTGTTTATAATCCTCCTGTAAGATTGTTAGTACAGCCTTTATGATACCAATTTCAGTAGTGTATGTATACGGGAACAACCGTTGGTATCTATTAGCAGTGTTATTGTTCAGAAATTTCTTTTACCTTTTGTCATTATCAAATTTACTTGTTGAATACATGGGCTTCAAGCTTTCAGCTGCTTTTCTGTTGGAAATTACAGTTGCCATGCAAAATACTACATACTTCATATATGGAGACAATGGAGTAGATGATGAAAGGCATCGCTTTTCAAGATTGTTACCTGCTATTATATGTATAGTGTTGGTGGTATCGTGAAGTTAAAAAAACATGATAGAGAGGCAAGATAACGAAGGAAGTAATTGTCGTATTCCATGACCATGATATTAGAGGGCGGTACCATCTCAGAAACAAAACTTTTGATGCAAGGCCTTGCTTCTTTGTTTAACTTGTATAAGAGTTAAGAGTATACTTGAAAACAATGTGGTGGATTGAGAAGAGTTTAAATGAAAGAGGATAGTAAATCATTGCTTTAACGATATAAAGTCTGTAAATTACTCGTAAACTTTATTCAAATAAGTGTATTTGTGGCAAGATAAACAATCATTAGCCTGTTACAAATTTCTTCAGGCAATTAGCAGTCTTGAGCCCAATATCTTACTCGTACTTATCTATGATAAAGCTAAAGAAAGGAATGTGCCTTCTTACAGAAAAATCAATTACAAACAAGTAAGCTCTTTACAGAATGTATCAAACGCTGCACAACAAGATATCTTTCCAATAATACGAAAAGGGCACATCTGCACTTCTAGTCAAGAAGCGGACTCCCTTCTCTGACAAGCACAAAGAGGCCACCATCTCCTCTTGAAATCCTAAAATCTTCATCGACATATGTGAATAGCAACCAAGATGAAGTGCGTTCACCTGGAATGGAAAGCTTAAGAGGTGGCAGGCCATATAATGACCGTGAAATACTTGCTGCTGCCTCCTGAACAGGGTTCAGGAGCTGCTGCACAGGAGAAAGGGTAATATTTTGTCCAAACACATTTATATTCTCTGGAAGATCAAATTGAGATTTAATCTTTGGAGGCTCAAAAGTGGCTTCTTTAAATTGAACCTGCATATCAGAAATCAGCTGATTAGCACATTTAATCTCCATTTAAGCATCTTAACTGAAAGAAAATAATCAAATTCTCAAATAAAATAATGATTCCTCCTCATAAATTTGCAACCTGTGGGGAATTACACTATTCAACACACAACTTTAATCTATCTCAGACCCTGAAAAGAATTGAGTTGAGATACTTTCCATAAACCCCACGAGATCCCAAGAGGCCAGAGTGGTTGGAATCGTCCACTTCATAAAATATGCTTCCTATCACCTGTGTAACCGTGTTACATTGACTCTTCATTCATTTCAAGTACACATGTCAGACCCTCAACACTCAGACATGAGAATGACACTTGGACACTTCACTTTTAGTTCAAACTATTGAATTTTTTTTCCCACAAAATAGCCGAGTCAGACGCTTGGACACATACCCATGTCGGACATTTGTATCCGAGTCCATGTGACATAGCCTATCACAGACACAAGATCACAAGATGTCTTTATGTAATCGGCCAATGGACGCATAAGGTTCCAAATAACCTTTTATGGCGCAGAAGTCTCTGACCTATTTGACAAACCTTCTACTAAACAAAGGATCGATTCTTTCTACTTGCTTTCCCAAACTGTCGAAGATTCTAAAGGTTTTGTGGCAATTAAATTAATAATGAGTCATTATTGAATGTTTATTGAGAAGGTTATAGGCTTTCATGGAGTCCCTTAAACCTTAAAGGATGGTATCCATTGAGTGGTTCGCATAAATTTAAGATAATCTTAGGTGGAGATGGAGGTGAGAGTGAGTATATTTGCAATGGCTGGGGTGGGTAATTGGGGATTATGAAAGGTTGGGTAATTAGATGGAGGAGGAAAAAAAAAGGGGGGATGGATGTGGTTTGGGTAGATAGTGAATAAGTGATTTCCCTTTTTAGTTTTAGCATATACAAGTATATAATCTAACAAAATTCCATGAAGTATGAGATGATATATTTATTTGCATGCATATATATGAGTAAAAGTAAACTGATGATATGCAAGAAAACATAAAGAGAGAGAATTCTAGTGAGAGAAGAGACCAAACAATCCAACAAATTAAGGAAAGAACCCAGAACCCATGCGAAAATCTAGATCGAAGCTACTACCACCCAGTTCAATCCTACTCTACTCAATTCTCTTACTTAGAACCAAATAACTGCAATTCCAGCATATCTCTTGGTCAAGCCTCATCACTTAAAGGAAAACACAGTGTACACATGCACAATTTCATCTAAAAAATCAGCAATCCCCATATATAAAAATAGAATATTAAAACTGATTCCCTATCCGACACAATTACAATTGTGTAGCTTTCAATCTCCAAATCACTAGATCTACACGTCATAGTCATGGAGCCTCAAAAGGCTTGATCTTTGATAAAATGCTTAACAGTAATTATTATAGCTAAATACAAATGGTGGGGCTACAAAAGGCAAAGAGAGCACTTGAATGGTCTGAGCCTAAGAGTCCGCACATTAATTGTATAGATAAGGCTGCACCATCTACTACGTCCCTCCAAGTCTCCAACCAGCAAAACACTCACCCACACAACAATTGTAGGCAATTGCAGTTAGGACATGGCATCATTCTGATTTTACATTAGGATTTTCGTTGAATTCTATGGTCTTTAAGTACCGTGCCTACCCAGTACCGAGAAATACATGTGATTACATGAACACATTTTTTGGAATGAGATATATGAACAATTTTGGAAGGGGCAAAGAAGATTCATTATTATGAAAAGAAAGCAATGCCATAACAGTAACATAAGATAAACAAGTAAAACAAATGAAAGTGACACCACAACACAAGGTATTGATTTGAACGACAACGCTATTAACTCGATTCCATATATAGCCCAGACCATGTGCAAGCTACATTCATCACACCACAAAGCAAAGGTTTGTTCAATTACCTGTATCCTTGAAGGGCTACTAACATCAAATTTGGCTGTTGCACTAAATGAGAATGTTGCAAAAGGACTGGACAATGTGGTCGAATTCTCTACAGTTTGGCTGGTGGTGCTAATGGCTTGACATATTTGTTGAACTTTTAGCAACGGTGTAGATCCAAGAGCAAGAAGAGGCAACAACTCAGAAAAGGCTGTGTACCTGATAAATACAGAGAAAATGATAGATGAGGCATGGTAAAGAGGATGAATAAAATTTCCTGTTATAGCTCAGACAAAATCTCAGATGATGACCGTTAATATCAAAGGATGTTTATGATAATATGCATCAGATGTCAATATATTCTTCAACTTCATAGCATGTGAATATGTGATCTCTTATATTCTGAAGTTTTATGTTGTGAATTTTCTATTAACTCTTTTAACATCTAAAGGTTCATTGAACACAAGAATATCAGCACACACACACACACACTACAGGGTCAGTTATAACTTTTTAAAAATTGGCATTTAGTAACATACAATCGTGGCTGATTCAAGACAACATTTCCTTGTTAATGCACCAACTCTCTTCCACTGTTCTACCATAATTTTCCTTCAAAATATTTCAACAGAATAAAATTCTGAAGGAAAATGGCAACCAATCACAATAAATGGCTATTAATACTATCTTATCCCATGAGTGAAGAAATAGTGCCCAACATCACAATATCATTAGGAAATAGGATGGTGAGTTGGTGACTAGCCAATAAGGTTAGAGGGTAACTTCATGGTTTAGTATGGAACCTCACTAGTGTGCGAGTCGCTGATCATACTCCCTTGTTTCCATACATAATTGTCACATTATCCTAATTCATTTATAATTAAGGATATAACTTCATTCACTGCTACATGCTTACATCCTTTATATGGACACATCATTGCTTAATTCTCCCCATCACTCATTCTAATTGAGGGGAAGTTCGAAAAATCCAATTATGATCCACTACTATCCTAACAAGCATGTCATCTTTTTTCCAAGCATCCCAAAATAGTATACGTGACTAGTATAACAGTGACAAAACAACCCAAATACAGGCACACAACAAATTCCCATTTCCACTTATCACCCTAAAAAAGACTACAATATGATCTTCCCTAAAAATTAAAAACAACAATTCAATCAATACTTCAATATAAATCAATGTAAGTATAACATAGTAAGAATTAAAATCAAATTCACAATGTAGAAGTAACAGGGGATAAATTAAAACACAAGACAAGAACATAGAAAAGCTTACACCAAAACCCAATTGCCATCAAGCAAGCCCGGAACCTCAGTCGGGTTAGGATTCGGGTTCGCCGCCTCGAGTTGATTAACAAGCTCCGATACCTCAGCCCGAACCTCAGCTGAGGCCCGAAACCCGAGCTCCGACCCATAAAGAGAATCCAACAAACACCTCTTCAGCTCCCAATTCTTGTTCACCCAAGTACTACTACTACCATTAGTTTCTCTCTCCTTAATCTCTTCGCCGTCAATTGCAAGACGGCCCCATTCATCTTCATCCTCGCGAATGGGCGGGTCGGAGTCGGCGAACCTGGACTCAGTCTTGGGCTCAGGCCCAGATTTCTCGCCCCATTCGTCGGAAACTGTGACAGAAACATTGAACTCAGGTGGGTTCACGGAGGCGGAAGGGTTGGGCTTGGGCTTTGGGTCTGGGCCCCATTCATCGTCTTCATCGGAGGAAGAAGCGGAAGAACGGGAGGATAAGAAGGTTCTGGAAGAAGGACGCGTGGAGGAGAGAGAAAGAAGTGGGGTTTGAGAAGGGAGGAGAGAGAAAGAAGAAAACTGGTTGTGGTTGTAATGGAGGATTGAGGATTTGGGGAAGAAGATGGAAGGTGGTGGAGTTGAGAGAATCGTCATTTTTGTTAATGGAATGAAAAAATTGAGGGAGATTTGGTGGACATGGGTGTTTTTTTACTATTTTCTGTTTGTGTATGTTGTTAACTTGGACCTATTGATCAAATTTTGTAAGGCTTCAAATATTTTGCACAATATTTGAGAGACTAGTGTAAATTGTAGAGTGAGGGATTGATTGGCCGACATACTCGCTTCGTCCAAAAAGAGTGGTGTCAAAATCTGATCGGATCAATTCAATTTGAAATCGATAAAAAAAATCAAATTATACTTGAATTAACACCTCTATTTGAAAATAATGGCTATGATATCTGTATGTTTTGTTAGGATTTCAAAGTATAAGTATCATTGATTTATATGACAATGGTTTGCAATTGTATATGGAAATAATTTAAATAATTGATGGGAAATAATTAATAAAAATGAATACTTATGAATTGGTTTTTTTTAGTGATACATGGAATATTTATTATAATCGATATTGAACATGATATCATATTTGTCAAGATAAATTAAAGTAGATTCCATTTGTTTAATACACAAAATTTTGTACTTCTTATTATTAAACAAAGTGGAGTATATGTATTAATGTATATGTTAGTATTGGTCTTTCTTAACTCAATAGTAGCAGGAGTCAACCTTAGAGACAACTAGAGACGATTTTCTTATCCCGATATCCATGCTAGCACTTTCAACCTGAGCATCATCAATGTCTTCACTATTGAAGCTTTAGCCTTGCACAAAGGCATCTCCTAGCTCTCCAACAAGATATATATTCAGACTATTCACAATATTTATATCAAAGGCAACAATCTCTTAGTTATTAATTCATATTCAATCAAAGGTGGTACTTGGTCCCATCCATGGAAAACCGAGCATCTTAACTTAACCAATTTTGATACCTAGATCGAGTATTCATCATACTTATTGAGAGCCAAGTAAAACGGCAGATTAGATCGCGAATCTTATTGAGTATATAACAGGAACATTTACCCTTGTAATAACTCTAGTCTTGTTTCCGTTTTCTCATCCAATACATTAGGAATTCCCCTCGTGGAAAGAGTTTCCTAACAAAGTAACAATGTTTTTTTTTTCATAATTACCTTATAAAATAAAGTTATTCTAAATTGCACCAAAAAGTTTTCTTGATGGCTAATGTACATAAAAGAGAGATTATATTCAAAAAAAAAAAAAAAAAAAAAAAAAAAAACAGAAAAGAGAGATTAAAAATGCATGATCAAGTTTAGAGAAGACCCTAATGGTGGTGATTCATGCTAATGGAAAAAACTCAAACAAACCTAGTTAAGAAGAATGCTTGCAACAAGTGTACATTGCACCACCACGAGGATGGTTTGTCCTTAATACTGATGAAGTGGCAAAGGTTGCGCGACGCCAGCAGGAGGAGGGGGATTATTCGAGATGAACAGAGGAAGAAGATGCAGATCGATTGGCTTTACATCAAACTTTGGCTCATGTTCATCCTATGAAGGTTAAAAGCTGAACTAAAAGGCTGTTGAGATAGGCATTTATTGCTCTTGCCTTCAAATTTGGGGTCAAATACCTAATTATCAAATGGATAATCATTCATTTGGCAATTTAATCTAGCACTTCATGCAAGGATAGGAACCTTACAGAGGAGAATGAGTCCATATTCTCCACAACAGTCAAAGATTAATTAAGGAGAATAGTTGGAAAGTTACATTTTTTTTTTTTTTTTTAAACCAGTTGGAAAGTTACATTATAATATTATATTGGTAAAAAGAAGAGAGAGAAAGAGATTAACGTGACAAAGTGAAAATAGCATGCATAAAGACCAATTAACCACCAATTAGGACATGCTTGGATCGGGAATAATATCAATTTAGGGAGTAATAAAAGTCAAATTTGAAAAAACATAAGTAATTAGAGGTGTTGTAGGAGACTAGGTTTTTGCAAATAAAATAAGGTAGTTGTGAGTTTGTGACATAAGGAAAAGAGAGGGATAAAATCCTCACAATGAGCGTAATAGTTAGTGTAACTATCAACCCCAAAATGAGGGTATTAGTTCATCTTACTTCGCCTCATACCACACCACTACTACATAATTTTTCTTACAATCACACTATCACTATCTCCTCCTTCCCTATATTCACTTTCATTTTACTTAGTTTGACTTTTATTGTCCTAGTAATACATCTCCATCCTCAATCCAAGCATGCCTTTAAATATCTACAATGGGGCTTAGAGTTCAATAGAAGATTTTTACGTAGATTTTTTTTTTTTTTAATTTTTTTTTTTACATATTTTTAATAAAGATGATCAGATCAAGCCCCAATTGGATGAAATAGAGAAAATTCTTATGATAATTAAATGTAAAGTTGTTAGCACCATGTAACCACTTCGAACATTGCTCGAGCCAAAATGCTAACTGAGTAAGTTGTATATATGCTTTTTTATTTCTTCTCAATACGACGACTCTTCAATTAGACATCAATCTCAGTCTCATAACTTTCTACATTCTTAAGTAATTGCTCCCTTTTTTAGTTTTACACTATTCGCCGACTAAATCTTCTTTAATTTTTTACTTTTTTTTTTTATTACTTAATTGTTCATTAAAAATATACTTGTTCAAAGATTTTGTTTGTTTCCTTTTAATTTGTACTTTCGATATTTCTATTTCTTTTAACCAAAAATTAAAGAAACTAATTAATGGTTCAAATTGTGCGTAGGAGAACGTAAAATTAAATCTTATACGGAGTATGAAGCAATTAAATTTGAGAAAGGGTGAAGTACTTAATTTCCATCCATTCACTTCAAAGTATTCTAATTATATTTCCCACCTACTACTTAAGACTAGAGCAAGGACTAATTAATGTATTGTGTTGGCTTTCTAATTACAAGTTGATAAACCTAATTTGTCCAAAAAAAAAAAAAAAAAGAGGATTGATAAACCTAATTCATTTACAGTATTTTGTTTAATTACTCATATATAAAATTCATGCATGTCTGACCCTTTTATAAACGTTTTGCGCTCATATTTACTTGTAAAAAGATCGACTAGTACAGTAGTACAACGATAAACCTTGCTAATAAAAAAAAAATAATAAAAAAAAACAAGTATACAAGTATGATATAAGTTGCAATGCATGCCATTTTTTAAGATAAGATATAGTTAATTGCTTAAAATTAAACTGAGTTAAGATAAGTCGATTAAAATGAAACCTCCACACACATGAAGGATGAACAATTTAAATACCTATAACATCATGCAATCCCCATATATGTATTTGAAATACCTTGTTATATTGGTACCATCATCCTATTATTTTAGGTCAAAGAACAAAAATTAATAAGCTTTTGATCTATCTAGCTTTATAATTTAAAGATAGTTAGGATGTATTCAATTCATTTGATTTTCACTTGTCTGAACTTATTTTATATTTATTTGAACTTATTAGACCCTAGTAAAACTAAAATAATTTGAGCTTGTCATGTCACGTATGATTTTAAGCTACTAACTTTTTTTTTTTATAGCTGTTTTGTACCCCTAATGGTTAGCTATTAGCTTGCTAATTAAATAAGCTTGACTTTCTCAATTATCTTTATAAATTTAATTATTTGATACATTAATCTCCAATAATTTTGGAAACTTTTTTCTCAAGCTAATTAATTTGCTTGGCCAAACTAATTACATTTTTTAGCTTCAATGGTCAAGTTGGTAGCTAGAGGCTTTTAAAAATTGCAAGCAAGTCCCTACCTACAACCATTAAAATTGCTCACGTATTCTATCTTAAATCATTTGAACTTATGATATTTCAAATTAGTAAAAATAAGGTTAATATAGCAAAACCTTTATCCAGTAATTAGTGAAAATAATGGATAAGATCAAATGTATTAATGTACTCCGTATTATACATATATCCTTACATTAAATAGTGTATTAAATGGTAACAATAGATAATGGTAAATTAAATTTGAAGATATCATATTAAATATAGAATCATCTATCCAATAATATTTTTAATAGTATGAACACAAAAATTTGATATGCATTTTATTCTAAAATCACCATCATTACTCTTTTCAAAAAAAAAAAAAAAATAAAAAAAATAAAATACCATCATTACTCTTACAATTATCCATGTCCTAACGTATTGAACAAATTAAAATCATGGCAAATACTTAAATGTCCAACAAATATCCTCTTTATCAGTCCAACTTCTTAATAATGTGTTAGAAATAAGTTTATAAACATTAAATTTCAACTTTTATAAGCTCCCCAATTACATTATAGTGTGTATTAATTTATGTATCCATGTCTTTTTGCAAAATTATGTGGTTTAATATCTTACTAGCTACACAAACTTATAGAGAAAAAGTTGTTAGGAGATGAGAAATCATCATGAACAATGTGGACAATGCATTAATTATATACTTCATCTCCCAAAAAAAAAAAAAAACACAAAATTCAAAAAAGAAAATTAAAAACATTGATTATAATTAATAAAATTTTGTTGGTAGAAAATTAATAGCCTTTTTTTTATTCATCATCATGGGAGCAAAATCCCTTTTTATTTTCAATTTATATTTTTTTACACTTTTTAAGCCATAAAAAAAGCTTTGTTAGGACCTAGCATTGACAATACCTTATTTAAATCCCTCCTAACCCGTAGATTTTGTCCATTGTAACCTCCAAATCAACGGTCTATATTCGTTGACCTATTTGAACTTGACCTTATTACTCACTCACTCTCCTCACGTAAAACGGAAAAACCCGAAAAATTCAAAACCTTCTTTTTACTATTTAATCGCGTGTATCAAACGTTACAATTAACGGCTAAGATCTCATCATGTGAATACCACGCGCTATTCAAGAATTTGATTAATACAAAGAAAAAGGAAAAGTTTTGACTTTGTGAGAGAGAGTAAAGAAGGCTACATGAAACGGAAAAGCATAAACCAATTAAATACTGCCACGTGTTTTCAGAAACAGACGACTGAATAAGTGGCATTCATCGGTTTTTGTCAGAGAGAAATAAATTACGCTTCCTAGATTTATTTAATTTTTTTGATAAATAAAATTAAAAATAAAAATTCATTTATCAAAATATAGAAGGGCAACCCACTAAAAATAAAGCTTGCTTCTTTTTTTTTTTTTTTGCTCTTTCTCTCTCTACTCTTTTAACACTAAACAAGAGTGAGTATGAAGTGAGAGAAAGTGATTTTAAGAGAGGAATTTTTTTTTTTATTTTTTTGTGTTTTGCTAAGGTGGATCCAAACAAGTTTGAAAAAGATATAATCTAATGCTCAAATATTGGTATATTCATTGAGCTCTATTGTTTTATTATTTATGGTCCCGTTAATGTTACATTCATTTGAAAATATGATTTTAGGTTTGTGTTTTTTTTATAATCAAACAAAAAATTGGTATATTCGCTTTCAATTTTACTTTTTTTTTGTTTTGTTATGATTTTTTTTTATTTATTCCGGTGTTTTGATGTTTCGTATTATATCACGAGGTAGGTGGTTGTAGCTAGGAACTCAAAAAAAACCTTTTATGGTAGAAAATCATTTTGATTTTCCTCATTAATTTTGACTTTTTAATTATTAAACAAAAATAATTAATTAATTTAAAAAAAAGGCTGTTCGTTAACAAATTATTTAAATATAATTATTGCACTAACTTTTTATCCAATCCAGTCAATAATTCTTGCATTATTTTTGTTACCTTAGATGTTAGAATGGTAGACAAATGAATAAAAGGATTATGACAACCTAACCCTAAGTTGGTAATTGTTGATATTTTCATTTTATTGAAGATTTGGATATCAAGGGAGCAATTATTGGAGGAGAAAAGAAGGAATTGAAGATAGTATAATTAGCATAATAATGTATGGAGATTGTCAAGTAGCAGCAGCATTACCTTCAACAATGGGAGAAAATGGGATGTCATCAACACCTGATTGTTCTTCTCTTTTCGCTTCGTCTCTTCGAAACCCTAACAATCATAATCACAATCATCATCATGTCAATGCCTTTACTTTCATGGCTTCGCTTCCGCCTGCCTTCCATCCTTTCCCTACTATCCTCCCTGTAATGTTCCTCATTCCCTCTCTCCTCTTAAGCTCTCCTTTTATTTTATTTTAATTATTTATTATTTTATTAATTTGATTTCTGTGTATTTTTGTAAGGTGAAGGAGGAGAGAGGGAAGGAGGAGATGGTGGAGAGCTTGTCAGGAAGCGAACTCAACATGGAAGGACAAGGTGGTCTTTCTGGGAACGAGCTCGAAAGTCTTAGTGAAGATCCGCTCAACCCCAACCAATTGCAACCGTCTCAGAGTGGTAAGAAGAAGCGTTACCACCGCCACACTGCTCGTCAGATTCAAGAAATGGAAGCGTACGTATACGCTTCATTTTTTACTTTCGTCCAAATTTAATTGTCACATAAAATACAAATAATTGTTTACCATATAATTTTTTTTTTTTTTTTTTTTTGGAAAATTATGATAATTTAATTATATTATTAGTCATTTTGTTTGTTTGTTTGTTTTTTTTTTTTAACAGTCTTTTCAGAGAATGTCCGCACCCTGATGATAAGCAAAGGATGAAGCTTAGCCAAGATCTAGGGCTGAAGCCACGCCAAGTCAAGTTTTGGTTCCAAAATCGCCGTACCCAAATGAAGGTGCGAACCATACATTTCTCAAAATTGATTTAATTAATAACGTAATTAATTAGAAGAAAAGGTTTAATTTATATTTTGAATACTCGTATAAATTTAAATATTTTCAATTCATCCCCTCGTAATTTTCCAACTTGATGGTCGAGTAATTAGAGAGAATCCTGTCTAGCTACACGAGCTATATCGGATCTACGATAGTAGTAGTATATACATAAGGAGTACATTATTTACGCGGTTAATTAATTGAAATCTTACATAGAATACCAAATGGGGCTAAAGGGTTGCACCATTGATGGCAGAAAGCCAGCTGTGAGTGAGTGAGTGAGGGTTAGAACTGTAACAGTGACAGCTTCGTAGTTCCCTAGGAAGATTAAAAATAAATAAATAACAAAAAAGGACCAAGGCTAGGGTTTTATTTTTATTTTTTTTTACTGTGGTTTTTGTTAAAAAAAAAAAAAAAAAAAAAAAAATGAAAGAAGAAGATAATATTAGGTAGTACAGAAAATGAAAGCTTGATGATGAAAATGGAAGACTTAAAAGAAGAAGGAGAGGAAGAAGAAGAAGTATAATAAAGAGGATTAAATGAATTTACCTGTACCACAGTCATTCCCAAAGCTAAAAAATTTAATGGCTTAAATGTTCCCCACCCCCCAATGTTCATTGTCCCAGCTGTAGGCCTAATGCAGTCAGTACTCAGTAGTAGTGTTCAATTTATTGTGCTTTTTTTCTTCAATTATAACAGTACATTGCAATGAGATTATTATTTAATTTCATGCATTATTATGTTAATACATCTCCATTTTGTTTCAATTAAGCTATGTTGTTTAATGTGTTTTAGTGTCACACTCGGCTATTCAAACTCGTGTTTGAGAGTACGTACTTGTGGTAGATTGATTTAATTAAATGATTTGATTAATGTGATAATATAAATGCATGTACATATGTGTTTGATTAGGCACAACAAGATAGAACTGATAATGTGATACTGAGGGCTGAGAATGATAACTTGAAGAACGAAAACTATCGCTTGCAAGCAGTCTTGAGGAGCCTTGTTTGTCCTGGATGTGGAGGTGGCTCCATTCTAGGAGAGGTCGAATATGATGAGCAGCAACTGCGCCTTGAGAATGCTAGGCTTAAAGAAGAGGTGTGTTCTTATTTATATATGTTTTATAAGCCACAATTTGCTAGGGCTCTTTGATTTTGGACTAGTGAAATTAATTTGTGTTATTTCATGTACAAATTGTAATACTATTGACTTATTGATATATGTTTTGGATCCTGAGCATCTTAGCTATGATTACTGCCTCATAATTAGCTAAGATTATTCTTCTAATTAAAGTAATTGGTCCACAAATGATTAATTTTTTTTTGGTCATATTCAGTATTCTAAAACTGCAAGTAACAATTAGCTGATGTCTTAACATCAGTGACACATTATTGCATTAGTATCAGTTTGTTTAATGGTAGAATCATCACTAAATTCAAGTGTATTCTTGTGTAAGCTTGTATGCATAATTAAGAAGGCTATTAAGTGAAATCATTATCTCATTATTCAATATAAATCACAATAATTTGTACTACTTGTCTCTTTTACAGTATGACCGAGTTTGCGCAGTTGCATCAAGGTACACTGGCCGATCACTCCAATCTCTTGGACCATCTCCACCACCGGCAGCTCTCCTACCACCCCCTTCTCTTGACCTAGACATGGGAATGTACTCGAGGCACTTCCAAGAGTCAATGCCTCCTTGCACCCAAATGCTTCCAATGCCATTGCTTCCCGAGCCTGCTACTGAATTCCCTGGTGCTGGAAGTGGTAATGGTAGCGGAAGTGGGAGTGGTAGTGGTAGTGGTGGAGGTGGCTTAATATTGGATGAAGAGAGGCCCCTTGCTATGGAACTGGCCATGTCTTCCATGGACGAGTTGCTTAAGATGTGTCATGTGAACGAGCCCCTTTGGTTTCGCAATAGTAGCAACTCCATGGAAGTGCTTAACATGGAAGAGTATTCGAGGATGTTCCCTTGGCCTCATCATCATGCTGATCCTCTCAAGCAACATTACAATGAGTTAAGGACCGAGGCTACTAGGGATAAGGCGCTTGTCATCATGAACAGCATCAATCTTGTAGATTCTTTCCTTGATGCCGTAAGCCCTCTATATTACATACATTATTAACCTAATATGCTTCTTCATTTGGCTATTGTCTTGTTTTTGTTTACCATTTTCTAATCTGTACGCGATTATCCCTCTTGTCAAATTAACAACAGAATAAATGGATGGAGTTGTTTCCTTCCATTGTCTCTCGTGCCAAGACTGTTCAGATTCTTGCTCCAGGAGCCTCCGGTCATGCAAGTGGCGCGCTTCATCTGGTTAGTTCATTCATGACACATTGATCTTCTTTAAAAGTCACTTAATTTCTTTCAATTAATATGTTTCGGAAAAGATAACATTTTCCTTGGAAGGACTATCATGCAAAAGAACCCTGCATTGATTATCTTATACAACATGAAAAGGCCTTGATCATTGTTTATTCCTTCTTGCAGATGTTCGCGGAGTTGCAAGTGCTTTCACCATTAGTACCTACCCGTGAGACTTATTTCCTCCGGTATTGCCACCACAACGCAGAGGAAGGCATGTGGGCTATTGTTGATTTCCCTGTGGATAACTTCCAAGGAAGCCTTCAACTCTCTCAAAATAGTATTCCTAGATACAGGAAACGCACTTCAGGCTGCATCATTCAAGACATGCCTAATGGTTACTCAAAGGTAATTAAAAATAATACATTACATAAATGAACTAATCCCTACTATACTCTTATGTAATGAACAATTGAAATTTATGACATTAATGTAGGTTATATGGGTTGAACATGCGGAGGTATTAGAAGAAAAACCAATCCACCAAACTTTTGATCAATATGTTCATAGCGCGATGGCATTTGGGGCAAAACGTTGGTTGGCTATACTTCAAAGGCAATGTGAGAGGGTTGCTAGTCTCATGGCCAGAAATGTATCTGACCTTGGAGGTTGCAACAAACTCTAATACTGATTACTTTGTTATAAATTTCATTCTATCTAGATTTCAGCTGAACTAACCAGCAAATATGTTGTTCATGCAGTGATACAGTCACCAGAAGCAAGGAAGAATTTCATGAAGCTGGCACAAAGGATGATAAGAACATTAAGTGTAAATATAAGCACTTCAGGGGGTCAGTCTTGGACTGCATTATCTGAATCTGCAGACGATACAGTTAGAATTACAACTAGGAAAATCATGGAACCAGGGCAGCCTAATGGATTGATCCTCTGTGCGGTGTCCACTACTTGGCTGCCTTATTCTCATGACCGGGTTTTTGATCTGTTGAAGAATGAATATCGAAGGTCTCAGGTAATTTGGCTCATGATCAGCCAATGCAATCAAATGTTATATTATTAGTAGGCTTTTTAACTGAAGTAGTGGTTTTAGAAATACAATTAAGTATGATTACGTTTTTATGTTTACCAGCTTGAAGCTCTTTCTAATGGAAGTTCCTTACATGAGGTGGCTCATATCGCCAATGGATCTCATCCAGGAAACTGCATCTCTCTCTTTCGCATCAATGTGAGTTTCCTTTATCTTCATTGTTACAAAACCTATTATTATTATTATTTTTTTACAGTGGCTATTATCTTTTTTATGGTTATTGCATCAGTAAGATATGCACCATTGATAGTAAAAAGAAATCCGGTGACATCAAGGGTGTAACTTTATTTTTATTGTTTCAATAAGTACAAAAACTTGTAGTCATCTTGATAATATCATATTGTTTCTAGGTTTATGTTCATGAATCTCTTAATTCGTACTCGTACTTGTAATCTTGTATTAATGAATGATCATATCATTTATGGTTGTGTTTAATGGCGTTATTTAATGTTAATTTAGGTGGCAAGTAATTCATCACAGAATGTGGAGCTAATGCTGCAAGAGAGCTGCACAGACCCCTCAGGTAGCTTAGTCGTGTACGCCACAATGGAAGTTGACTACATCCAGCTAGTGATGAGTGGTGAGGACCCTTCTTGCATTCCTCTCCTCCCAACGGGGTTCTCCATAATACCCCTGGGACAAAACAATATTACACCCGATGCCACAAACAACACAGATGGCCAGAGTTCCTCCAGCAACATGGGTGGTGGATGCCTCCTAACAGTCGGGATCCAAGTCCATGCCAGTGCAAGCCCTAATGCCAAGCTTAACCTTTCAAGCGTGAACGCCATCAACAACCACATCTGCAGCATGGTCCACCAAATCAACGCTGCCCTTGGCAACACCAACGGAAACAGCAACACAATCACTAACACCAATGACAACATCAATAACGCTAGTAATACTTGTGTTGCTTCAACCAGTAATAACAACGCTGTTGGCTCGTAAATTGAGGCCAAGAGCGTTGTTAATTACTACCCTCCATGTTTTTAAGAGGTTATTGTATTTTGGGAGGGCTTAAAGGAAACAATATAGATGAGAAAAGAGTACAAGTGGAAGAAGTAGACTTTGAATTTTATTTTTCTTTTACAAAAAATGGTTAGTAATTGGTAAATAAAAAATCTACTACAACTACTAATGTACGAGTAGTTAGGTGTGTGAAAAAACAGTGGGATTAATGAAGGAGTAAGAATTGGTGGTGGAAGTCAAGAGCGCACCAGATGTGATCCTTGGATATGGCTAAGCTAGTTGGTTGGTCGGCCGAGGCTAATTTCTTACCAGTCATCCAAGGGTGTTGGTTCGGGCATTGACTTCTGCTTTTACTCATTTAATTTATTGGGTCCTTTTTTTTTCTTCTTTTTATTTAAAAATTCTATTTTTATGGGACTTTTTGGTGGATTACTTTTTATTGATGTAATTGAAGAATTTAGTGTTCAATTTATGAGTTCATTTATGTTGGTAGTTGTGGTTAGTCTTTCTGCTGTCTTGTTATTTTCTTCATCTGTTCTATTTTTTTACTAGTGGCTTGGTTGGATGAGTGAGTAATAATTTCTTCAGGTTGGTATGATTTGTGGATTTTCATGGTTATGCTAAAATCACGAATATGCTCACATGGGACTATTAAAGCCGTCCGCAAAGGCTTAAAATTGTATTCAATACTCAATACAGAAATAGAGAAGTACTTGTAATGGTCGTTATGTATAAGAAGGTAAAAGTAAGAACCTAAAATGGAGTTAACGAATAACTACAGTTGATGTGTTAATCAAGAAATTCATGGCTAATGCTTTTCCTGAGTTTTGTACAAGGAAATGAATTGAAAATACTTGTGTCAATCTATTCTCCGAATCATTTATAGGAGTATGAAGTAGTAAGTCCATACTAGATTGATGAACCCTAAGAACTATCCCATAAAAGAACCAGCTTAGTTGATATTTAGCAAAAAATATAATGATGGGGTAAACCCTAAAGAAATACAAAGTATCAATAGTGAATTTAACTAGAATATGATTATATGATTGTTGAATAATTTTCAGGATCTTCTTTTAAGTTCTGAGTAAAATCCGAATTAATAACGGAGAAAGTATCATTTTTGTTGCTGTCACACAGCATGTTTGTGCTCTTAACTATTTTCCAATTCTAAGTTTCATAAACAAGTATAAAGACCAACAAGCATAACAATGCAACATAAAAGTTCTGAACTTGTTTCAACATTTAAAGCAAACCCTACATTTTTGAAAGATCATATCAGAACCAAATGCTTCTCCCAACAGATAAAATAAAGGCTGTATATATGTCAGCGGTTCAACCAGTAGTCATTAAGGACGTCATGGTACATGAGCTCGAAACTCATCTACATCATTATCCTTTGTAACCATAGCTTTTATCAGCTAAGAAGAAGGAGAAAGTTAATTCTATAACAAACAATTCTTGTAAAGCCTTCTTATGCAGTTCACCATTAGATAAAATTCTCATAATAATATTTACCATCAGATCAATGTATTGTAGCAACATCAGAAGCTTGATTTTGTAATGTATAGTACCAACAATATAATCTATCTAACCCAGTAATATAAGCAAATAGGGATAGTAGTTATTTTCAATGAAGATACGTACTTTCCATCAAACGATCAGAAGAAGTTAAGCTCCAGTTTGAATTAAATGGTCAGAATTCATCGCCATCCTCAATTTCTTCCTCTGTTTTTTAAGCAGTAAGTGGATGCCAACAAGAGTAATGACACTTAAATTCAATGTTCACCATTTATCAGCCAGGGACTCAGAACCTGAAAAGAAAAATGAGATTAAGCAATTTAACTAATATTCATAAGGTTTGTCAGAAATAACTGCAATCAGCTGCAATCAGACCCTCTTACTCAGTTCCAACCTGAGTCATATAACTACTTGGAGAAACTCCTAGTTGATCTTGAGGATAACAATGGAAAGATTATAAAGATTAGTTGCTTAACTTTCATGTAATTTTATCTTCCCTTTCTCCTAATATCTCCCAGAGTTATTTATTTGGCATCAGAGAGTTTTCAAGCCCCAAAACCTAGCTTATTCTATTGCAAGTCATGAATCTTGCATGTATGCAGGATATAAACAAGAGAGCTATTATTACATTCACAGTATAAAATTGAGTTGAATGTAAAAGATCCAAATCTAAATAATTGCAACATTATGTTTCTGAAACTAGATTAAATGAATGTAGTGTTGAACTTACTGCTTGCATTAAAATAAAAAAGAATCAATAAAGGCGTCATCCTCTATATTTAAATTGTCTGCTGCATGATCCTGATTCGTTTTTAATCCAACATAATCAAAGCATCTAGAGCCTTATTCTTAAAATCCACCACCGGGATAAGCTACAGTGATGTTACGCGTCTAATCCTAATAAATGTGTCTCTTTCTTTGTGCATACGGATGCATAAATTAGTGCAGCGGACAGCTACACGTCCCATAACCACCTTAAACGCAATAATTAAAGAGCGTAAATGATAAGATATCAAGGAAAGAGTTAATGGAAGAGCGGAGAAGATATGGTTTATTGCAACTCAATGATGCAAGAACAATCATTAAAAATTCAACGGGTGTAGAAAAGATAACGATTAATAGTTCTTTTCTGTTCCATTAATAGCAAACGACAAGAGACTATAAAACAATCACAAAATTCATAAACATACTGCAGTTTCATTAGTATAAGCAAGCATTAACTAGAGGTCTATTTAGTTAGTCGTTCTGATTGGCTGGCTACTTTTTCATACATGATGGAGTCTAAGTAGAGGATGCGTTATAGTATAATAAATAAAGAACTAGCTTTATCAACTATAATGACATAGAACTACAGAAGAAATATACTGTATTGTACTGAATCAAAGTCAATTATGGAAATAAATCTAATGTAATAGATTAAAGAAAAAGATTCAGTTAAATTTTAATTCCCCGTTATGTTGTGACCTCTAGAAGGATGTGAATCAAGCTCGCCTTAAAAGGAAAAAAGGTAGCTCGCTGGTTTGAAATTTCTAGACAGAAAAAAACAGAGTGGTAATCCAACTTTTGTCTGTTCTTGCTTTTTTACTACTGCTATTGACATAGAAAAAAAAAAGGATGAAGCATGTGAATCAACTACAGGAACTAATAGCACTGCCAGTAATAAAAAGGAAATTAGTAAAACAAGGATGAGTATGGATTGCCTTAGAACAGATCGAAGGAAGAATAGAGGCATGTACTAGTCCATTCCTAAAGAAGAGTTTAAAAAAAAAAACAAGACTATATATCTAGTAAGTCTGGTCCGGACACAGGATTTAGATGTGCTAGTGCTTACTTAAGATCTCATAGCTTTGAAATTTCTAGACTGAAGGAAGAAAGAGTCAAAGTGGGAGAATCACACTACTGTATGTTCTTGCTCTTTTAATACTGCTACTGATGTAGAAACAAAAAGAAGGATAAAGCACTTGAATAAGCTACAAGAACTAAAAGCACAGCCAGTCATGAAACAAGAATGAGGTTGAATATTGAAGAGTATGGATTGCTTTAGAAAAGAAAGAAGAATATTGGCATGACTAGTCAATTCCTAAAGACGAGCTTAAGAAAAGCAAAAGGAGGAGGGGTAGAGGGAAAAAAGGACACAGGATTCAAACATGCTAGTGCTTACTTGAGATCTTTGGATCAGACTTGTTAGGCAGTCCCGTGTTCTATATAGCTGAAAGCACCAATAATATATTCCTTTCATAATGGAAAACAGCACTGTCTTCAGCAAAAATATGAAGCAGGACTCTAACTAACATAATCCCCTACCCCCCACTTATCCTCCCTCCTCTATCTACCACCACCACAAGCCAATTTGCCTAGATTACTTTGATCAAACCGAAAGGTTTCAGACAAATTAACTAGAAATAGGCCACTCTTCCTAGAATACTCCACAGTTCATTCACCTCTTTCTGCAAATTCACCAACAAGTGAAACTTTGAAAGACAACTACAATCTTGACTAAATCATAATGGGTTTCTTGCAACTAAGTTGTTAGATTCACATAATGTCCACCAAACTCGAGCTTGTTATGGAAATGGAATCATAATGCATTCCGGCTACATAATGACAATCGACAAGCACAAGGAAACCTATAATAGCTCCTTATAGCAAGTTATTTTGGGAAAGGGTCACCAAATTAGGGTCAATTACACTCCACCAAAAACCCCCTTTGAAGTGAATTGCAACTCCCTAAACATTTTACAATAAGACGATCAAAGTCACCCCCTTTGCATAATGATTATCATAACTCAACTCACATCCTACAATTAGTCACTTTAGAATTCCATACACTTTCTTTTTCATTACCCTAGAACAACTATTCACCAAGTCATACATTCTATATTTCTACAACACCTTCAAATCAAAGAAGTAAACCTACTTGCAATATAAATAGTCAATTATCTCTATACCTTTTGCACAGAATCAACAGAACAATTGATAAAAATGCTCATCATCACTGTTCAGACTTGCAATTAAAAAAGATTTAAACTTTGTTGAAGATTTAAACAATGATTTGACAACATACTCAAATAAAGCATTAGAATTTTCATGGGATATTCCAATTCTATAATTGATGAGCAGAAATTAAAGGAAAAAAACGGAACCAATGAAGCATAATTAAATAGATAAATTGAAAACTGAGAAACAAACCTTGAATGAGAAAGGCAAAAATGGCATTTTGCATTTTGCGGAATTGAATCCAAATCACCCGCTTCCTCGTATTTCTCTCCCTTCACCTTCGGTGTGTATTTCATAGTTTCTTCTTCCTTTTCCTTTCTCGTATATGTCGCATTTGCTGAGGAAATTCTCTCAATTTGGGTGTAGACTCGTGTAGAGATAATAGAAAATTAGAAATTGACGACTTTTTTTATTTTATTTTATTTTTTTTATTTTTAAAATTTTTATTACTCCGTATTATTTATTTTTTCTTTTCCGTATTTTTATTCCACTTATAGAATTTTTCCTAAAAATTGGTTAAACGTAAATTTGTTCCCTACATGCATCGATTTAAAAATGTATTCTCACATTATTGTCCAAGTATGATTGGTAATAGCTTCGTTTTTTTTTTTTTTTTTTTCCTGGTTCAACATAGAACTGCTAACACCATTTGCGGTTCTAAAAGACAAAAGGAAGTGGAAAAGAAATTATAGTGTGATGTTATTTAATTACTAAAACTACTAACGGTTTACAACGGTTCTATGTTGAACTAGAAAAAAAAATAACGAAGCTTTCACCAATCCTATGTAGACAATAGTGTGAAATAAGTTTATAAACCAATGCATATAGAGAATAAATTACGTTTAAGCAATTTTTAGGGAAATCGTTCCCTCCTAAAGTTCCTAATTAGTAATGATTAAGTATACGAGTATTTCGGTATTAATAATGTAATTGAAACATTTCAAATAGCATCTTAATACAAAATCAATATTTGCTTCATGATTAGGCTTACAAATTATCGAATATAAGTACTTGTAATTGGTAAAGTTAAGAACAAAGTTTTTGACATACGAGCCACATTTTTTGCTCATGCTTCCTAGTTAGTGTCTAATATTGGAAAGTTACACCCAAGAGTCCTGTCCAAAATAAAAAAAAAACAAAAACAAAACAAGAGTAATTTTTACTCATTTTGATGATTTTTTAACCTTATTTAATCAAAAATATAAATAAAAAAAAATAGTTAGGTTGGTTTTGTGGAGAGAGAGATTAAATAAAACTCGGCGATTTCTGTCTATTTCATTCCTAGCTAATCACTAAAGTAGACGAGAGGATGAGATTATGCAAATAACTTATGTACGGGTTAATGTATAACACTTGGAAAACGCAAGAGTCCAAATTTATAATGACATAGATCTTGGGCTAACATGGCACAACTTTTCTTCGACATATTTTAGGCACAACCTCAACCAACCCACTAAAGCATGAGACCTACATGACCTTGTCTAAGTCTAGCTCTAAGTTGACTCTTTAGACCTCCTGCCCATGTCTCACACTTCCAACAAAATAATTTAGCAGATTAGAAAATATACACAACCAAACGAGATAATAGCAAATCTAGCTAACCTTCAAACCAGCTAAACAACCAGATATCTTGTCAAAGAGGGGATAAATAAAAAAGAATATTTAAACGTGCAATCAGATTACGTAGTTCTTGATCAAGCAAACTTCAACACCCTTTAAGACAAAGTTGGGTTCTAATTTCATCACCATCCTTGAGCTGCTGCTCCTCTACTGTATTGGTCTCTGAAATCCGGCGACCAAGACGAATGCAATAAAGCTGTAAGTTTGTACGGATCGACTGATTCGACTCTGGCCAGTGGCGGATCCAGGATTTTCGAGATAGTGTGTCACCATCAATTATTGATCATTTGTGAAAGTACAATTTGTCACATCCCATCATCGTCCACCGACCGCATAAAATATCAAAATATAGTCAAAGCTTGAATAATGAACAAAAAAAATACATAAAAAGTTCATTTCATAAAGTAATTCAAATTCATATTACAACTAAAAAAGTACTAATTTTATTACAATTGCTCTCGACGAGTTTTCATATTTTGATAACGATGTACAATATCATCCATGCTAACATTGTAAAACAAATCTCTTTCTAGATAAGTAATCAAACAATCATTCAACATTTGATCTCCCATGCTATTACGCAATTTATCTTTTACTTGCGTCATTCCAGAAAATACTCTTTCTACACTTGCCGTTGCAACGGGAAGAATCAACACTAACTTCAAAAGTAAGTAGACTCGATCATGAGTTTCAAACTTTCCCGTCTCAACAAGTTTCGTAGAAAGTTCACTTAGACTTTTCAAATTCCAAAATCTCTCATCATTTCGAACATCAACAATGAAATTTTCAAGTGAATGTTCAAAAAATAATAACTCAGAGCTTGAAAATTCATCGGGATAAAATTTGGCAAGTTGAACTAACTTTCTTTTGTCAAAAGAATGAAACCGATTTGCAGGATTAAAGCAAGACATACACACAAGTAATTCCTTACTTACCTCGGGAAATCGATTTTCAAGTTCTTGTAATTGAAGATCAATGACACTTAGGAAGACTTCAACTCTAAAATGATGAAGATTAGTCACTTGTGGACCTTTACCTCTATACATTCTTCTCCCAGGAACAATATACTGCCCCTCCATGTTTGGAACCTCAATGTCATATTTAGCCATAAAAGAAGTGACTTTTTCCATATGTTAATCCCATCCTTCATCTCTTAACTTTTGCAAATTAGTCTTGGTTACATCAACCATGACCATTGCATTGACAATATCTTGATCATGTTTTTGCAATGCCACATTCAACGCATTTGTAATTCCAAATATATCAACCATCAAGTGTGCCACAAACACAAAATCAAATGACATCAACAAGTGTGTAATAGATTGTGCTTTATTTGAATCAAGTGTATCAGATACTTCTGCAATGGAATCAAGTGACAAAAGTATTGAAGGATATAAATCAAGCACATTCAAAATGGTTTTAAAATGAGATCCCCAACGAGTATCACAAGGTCTACATAAGCCACGTTCTTGATTTAAACCAGTTCCCAATTCAATTTCACCCAAGGACAATGCTTCTACAACCCCTTGACGTTGTTTTTCTCGAAGAAATTGTCTCCTCTTAGGTGAACCTCCCACAAAGTTCAAGAGAGGTGCAAGTACATCAATAAAAAGCCAACCACAATCTGAGTTTTTCTTAGCAAGAGCAACTTGTGTCAATTGAAGTTGGTGAGCAAAGCAATGAACAAAGTATGCTTGAGAACATTCATTCAAAATTAGAGTTTTAAGGCCATTGATTGAACCTTGCATATTACTTGCCCCATCATAACCCTGACCTCGAACTTGAGAGAAAGTTAAAGAGTGTTCCATGAGTAATGACTCAATAGCAGCTTTTAGAGTCAAAGAACTAGTATTAGGAACATGCACAATACCAAGAAAACGCTCACACACTTCCCCCTTTTTATTAACAAATCTCAAGCAAAGTGCCATTTGTTCCTTATCGGAAACATCGGCAGATTCATCAGCAAGAATAGCAAAAAATCCACCATCAAGTTCTTCCAATATTGCTTTAGTTGTTTCTTTTGCACAAGCATTGATTATATCTTTTTGGATACTTGGAGAAGTAAGTTGACAATTACCGGGGGCCATTTTAAAAACAACTTTGGAATACTCAAGATCATGGTTTGAAAGAAGAGTTAATAATGAAAGAAAGTTACCTCTAGACAATGAACTTTCCTTTTCATCATGACCACGAAAAGGCAACCCTTGGAACAATAGCCATCTGATGGTTTCAATTGAAGCTTCCAATCTCTTACGATAGGCACTCATGGTTTCCGCCGTTTGTTTTGATAAAGCGGTGGCAATGCTACTCATTTGATGCACGAATAAATTCATAGCAATCACAGCATTATTGTGAGCACTCTTGTGTCCACCAACATGCTTTACAATTGTGTTTCTTCTATTCCAATATCTGAAACCTCCATTAACAAAAGCATCGACTCCTGCTGTGTTACTATCCTCCATTAACGAGTATTTGGTTCACTTTCTTGGGAATTTTGTTCATTTTCTTGTAGTGGAGGATTTGGTTCACGTTCTTGAGAAGGTAAATCATTTTGTGGAGGAGGAGGATTTAGATTAGGCACTTTTTTAGTAAAAAAACTTGAAATGTCTCGAGTTGTTTTTCTTTTCATTCTGAAATTGAAGTTAAAGGGTGAATGAGATAAATCAATCTAAATGTTTGACTTATCCAAATTTCCCACAATGATAACCAACAAGAAAACTACTTTACACCACGATAAAGATGTATAAGCATAACATTTCTATTAATCCAACTATCACAAAAATAGCATATAATAAAAAACAGAATCAATGAACATTGTAAGAAATTTCATACAAACAACTACCACCCATTTTCGTTAACCTTTCTTTTATAAAGTCAAATTATTATTAATCCATCATACTCTCTAATTACTTTTTTTCTACCAACAAATCAACATCAACAAGTTATAAAACATGACTAAATCAACTAGTGTAAAGGGTTTGTCACAGGTAAAGTTGGCCTCTTTGAGTCTTTGATAACCAATTTTGCCCAATTTCACAGCCACCCCCTCCCCTTGACCCCTTCCCTGCACCACCACCGAAACCAGTAAGGCAGACAGTGAGACAGGCAGTAAGCCAGTAAACCACCCTAATTCCCTAAAATAGCACAATTTACACAAATACACAATAGTTATAGGCTTATAGAACTACAATTAAATACACGGTTAACAAAAATAAATATACAAATACAAGTACGATTAACCCCCATTTCAATTTCTACTTCCATTAACAAAAAATTCGTACACCATTTGTCAAATTGTCAAGAGTAAAGAGTTCAAGATCTAACCTGGCTGTAGGCAGTAGGCTGCTTCAATGAAGGAGCGAAGCTCAGCGTGAGGCGTGACTCAGAGCCTCTGAAAGAGTGAAAGTACGAAGCCCCTTCAATGGAGAATTTCGACCCTGCAATTATCAACTCATTTATCAACCCACAATTATCAAAATTCGAATGATTGACTCAATTATCAACCCACAATTACCAAAATTTGAAGAACCCTAAATAATTACAGAAAAAGAACTTAAACAAGATCTAACCTTTGACTCCTTTGAGATTGCTTCGGTGGAGAAGAAAAAGCTCAAACGCCCCTTCAATGGAGTTTTTGCGAGTAGCCGACTAGCCGAGTATGCTTGAATGCTTGAAGCTTCAATTCTTCAATGGAGCCATGGAGGAGAGAGTAGAGAGAGAGAGAGGGGATTAGGGGAAGCGTGGCTGTGTTGTAAGGGAATTAGGGGTTCTGGGTCTTTGGCCTTTGGGAGTGGAAAGATGCGTGAGTGAGTGTAATTGTTTTTTTTTTTTTTTTTTTTTTTTTTCAAAATTAATAGTGTGTCACCGGACCCACTATGACACTAAGTGGGTCCGCCCCTGACTCTGGCCCTTCCGGTGATAATTTATCAAACATCTGACTCAAACGAGTGTTTTGAGTGACTCTGAACTGCGTCATTCTGCCCGTAATACATTTCACTTTCAGTGTAAGATGTGAGGGTATTATACTCAAGGAAGAACCTGAAAGAAGAGGGGAGATTCAAGTAAAGTATCAAACACCAAACTTCTAAGAGTTGAGAACCTGGAATTAGAACCTTCTAAGAGTCAAAGTCTTAGAAGGTTCCAAGAGTTAAAATCAAACAATAAACTTCTAAGATTCAAGTAAACTAAAGTATCAAACAATCAAGTAATCAACCACTTAAAAACGGCTAACCCAATCAGTTTCAGCTTTTGATGTTCACCAAATACAGCCATAATCTTCTGATTTATTAGCATTAAATAAAGTAACCCAAATCCTATACTGAAGCATTACAAATAGAGAATAACATTTTACTTTAATAATTTTTGTCTAGCATCAGAAAACTCCAAAATGAGAGCTAATTTAGGATGTAGAAAGCTCTCTTTCAAAGGAAGTCAAATAATTTTACCTAATATGGATTGTATTTAGGATCCTAATCTGAATGTAAAATAATAATTTTGAACTAGATTGAGTTAAACCAGAGTTGAACTTACTCATTGTTTTGAAATTAAAGCAATCAATGTCACCATCTTCTATCTTTAGTTCGTTAGCTGTATGATTCTGAGTCAACTTTAATTCACGGTGAACAAAGCATAGAGAGCCTTGTTCTTGAGATCCACTGTTAGGAAAACACTGCATAAGCTGAGGCAGTATAGCTGTAGAGCGTTTCACTCTAAGAATCGTGTCTTTCTCTTTGTGCATGCGAATGATTAGAGTTACATAAGGCACAGCTTCAAACCCCGAACTACCTTAAACACATTGATCAAAAGAAGGAAAATGTGAGTAAATCAAAAGATATGATATGAAAGAACTGTGGAGATTGAAGATACATCAACGACAATTCTACTGGAGAACATAGTTATAATATGTCATTTAAAATAGAATCATACATACCGATGTGATATTATCTTCAGATTTTTATACCATACTATAATTACTAATTTCTCACCTGGTGCATAAACTTCAAACATGTATTACAGTATATAGAAATGGCAAGCTAGTTTTTTTTTTTTTTTCTTCTGCTGATTCGAACAACAACACAAAAGACAAGTATCACCAAATTTGTGAATATAGTACAAATCCACCAGCATCAAGTTATCAGCACTAGATTAAGAACTAAATACAGCAAATAAATATTTAGTGATATGTTCTGCTCTTCCCAAGGCAGCTGGGTGTAGGATAATAGTAACAGGGAAATAGAATATGGAATAAGTCTATCCAATCACTATGTTGATGACAAAAATTATTGTACAAGTAATGCTTGATAAAAAGCATTTTGGGATCAACAAATTCACCATTAAATATGGCGTAGTTAAAAATTGATGGATTAAATAAAACCATGTATGATCATGCTAGAGTTGCTTACCCCTCTTGTTAGTACTTACTCTGATATCTAAACGGAAACAGCTGGAACACTTGGTGTGAGGTACTAAGTTAAAATGAACTTTTAACTTCTCAAAGGTAGAAGAAGGTTAGAGTCTAAATTTTTCTCTGGCTACTAAGGAGCCGTATTTCCCAAATTTGGATTTCTTGGCTAAAGAAAATGCTTTTCGAAACCATGTCACAGATGACTCTTTCTCTTTTACTGGTGTTTTTACATAGCATAAGGCTGGAGCACTACAATAGCTACTAGCACTCTCAATAATAAAAAGTAAATAAGGAAGAATAGTGACAAGTAATGAATTGCTTAGTTTAAAACAGCAGCAGGATACTTATTTCATCAGTAAGTCATACTCCGTAAATGATAAATCAGAATTCATCCTCTATACATTTCAGTAAAAACTTTACTTTTCTGTCTTTCAAAAGCATAATTAGGCACAGGATAGCAGCACAAATGATAAATAAGGTTGCATGTTTCCAATTTTCCTCCTAATCCCAAGTTGTAGGATTTACTTAATTGAAAGGAAAAGGTAAAATGTTCTTCAATTCCCTCAATCTACATTCAATATTTATACAAAGGAAAGTTGGTACCTCACTCTCCCTTTCCCTATCGAACCCTAACCAAAATTCAAATACAGAAAACTAGTTAACTAGGTACCTCACACCCCCTTCCCCCACCCTTCTCGAATCTTAAACCTCATATAGTATCCAAAAAAGTGAAATCGGTCACTCACTCTTCCATCCCTTCTCACCAAATTATTGTATCCAAAAACAATGTTGGCAATATGATCACTTTCCTTATCTTCAGTCTCCCCTCATCCTTACAGATAATTGCACTGATCAACTACTCTAACCCCTAGATTTTCCCTTTCAAACACTCCATATTCACAAACAACAGTCTAACCCCGAGAAGTAAACACACTATCAAATCAATATAATCTGTCAGATATAAACAATCAATAAAAAGTAAAACTTTCATATTATATTATAACCAAAAATAAATAAATCAATTTCCAAGAGTGAGGAGCAAACCACGATTAGGAAAGGCAAAAATGACATCATCATGAAGCATTCCAAGTTGATGGGGAGTATCCGTTTCCCTTAACTTTGCACCATTCAACTCGAATTGGGTTGTTTGATAATCCAAACCCAATTTCTGACAATACTCAATCATCAACCATCGAAATGGAATGCCAATCTCAATGTTAAAGATAACCCCTTCTTCTCTTTCACTTTCCGAATTCGACCATTTAACCACCTTCACTTTTACATTCTTAGTTTCATCTTTGGCATCTGCTGAAACTTCCCCATTAACTTCATCCGAAGTAATGTCAATTGGTACATCTGGGTTGTATCTCCGTTTCATTGTTGCCATGCCAATTTCCTATTACATTATTCGGCAAGTCTTACACGATTAATTGCACTTACTAATATATGCATATATATAATTCATAGTTTCATATTTATATTATTATAAGATCTTGAACATGTATAACTCACAATCACATTAATCAATAAGTAATTAAACTAACACATGATCCAACTCTTGAATAGATTATTAAAATAACATAAGGAGAACAAGGGTTAGTGGTTCATTTGCACAACAGTAAATCATTTACTCCCTCCATTTCTAAATTACGTTCCTCTTTCTAGCATTTATTCCTCACATAATAGAGAGAAAGAGGAATGTAATTTAGGGACGGAGGAGATAAGAGATGAGAGAAGAGAGAGAGAGATCCTCCCGTGCCACCCCATCAAACCCCTTCCCGCCGGACCCCCCGCACCCACCTCCTCCTCCAGATAAGCCCAATCAAACTCCGCCTACCATCCCCATCACCCCCTTGTTAGGGGCAGAATAGTCTTTTCATATTTGTTTGTTATAACTAACTTTCTGTTTCAGTTGTTAATAGTTAGTTAGCTGGGTATAATCGATTAGCAAGCTATATAAGTTAATCTTGTTCTTTCTATTTCAATGAATCATATATTGAAACAGAAATCTCCTTTCTCTCTCTACTTTTCTCTCTCTTTCCTCTGTTTTCTAGTAGTCAACATAGTTGACATATCGTAGGATTATCATCCTACATCAGTGGTATCAGAGCTAAGTTCCACCATTTTTGTGCACTTTCAGAGCTTATTATTCATGAACATAAGCTGTTTGATAAAAGGTCTGAGTGAAGTTTTGTTCCAATCTTGAACGATTTCAAGAAATCTGGCACCAATTTCTAAGGCAGTTCAATCCAAATTTGCTAAAATGGAGGAGCAAGTGAAGCAGCTGGAGAAGAAAATCGAAGAACAAGCCAGCAATATGCAGGCATTGATGCAGATGGTGCGGGAACTCAAGGAGGGTGGAGGAAGCAATATGGATTCTCAAAGGAATAGCAATGGAGGTACTCTTAATCGACCTCAAGGTATGGTTCCTAAAATCCAGTTCCCCACATTTGATGGATCTAATCCAAGAATTTGGATCAAGAAATGTAGTAGATATTTTAGTTTGTGCAAGATTGCTAATGAAGTTAGGGTGGATTTAGCTTCTCTATACATGATTGATAAAGCTGAGAGTTGGGTGTCTAGCTACTTGTCTGTTAGAAAGAATGTCGATTGGGATGATTTTATAATTGATGTCACTCCTAGATTCAAGGATGGGAAGGGTATAAATGTTGTTGAACAATTCAATAAGTTGCAACAAGATGATAATCTTGAAGATTATATTGATAAGTTTGAGGATTTGAGGTCAGTTTTGCTGCAAAATGGTCATTGTTTATCTGAGGAGTACATTCTTGAATGTTTTGTGGGTGGTTTGAAGTTTGCCATTAAACCATTTGTGAGAGCCTTTAACCCTTCTTCAATAACTGAAGCTGTTGGGTATGCAAGATTACAGGAAGAACAGTTAGTTGCTTATTCTTCCAAACCTGCAGCAAAGCCTTTTCAAAATTACCAAAACACCAAACAGTACACACCAAACACATATAAACCTCCCCTGTTACCTACACCACATACTAAACCAACTTCACAAGTCCTAACCAAATTTCAACCTAGACCCTTTAAACACATTCCAGCTGATGTAAGGGCAGAAAAAATAGCAAAAGGGCTTTGCTACTATTGTGATCAGAAGTATGACAGAGTTCACAAATGCAGTTTTACAGAAACACAGCTGTTTACTGTTGAATTCCAAGTGATATTGAAGTGCAGGAGTATTCTGATGAATGTGATGAAGACAGTTTGATTTGTGACAGTGAGCCTAGAATTTCTATGAATGCTTTGTCAGGTAATCAGAGTTTTCATACTATGAGAGTAGTTGGTATGATGAATGGGAAGCCCTTACATATTGTGATTGATTCTGGAAGTACTCATAACTTCCTGGATTTGACTTTAGCTACCAAGTTGGGCTGTCAAGTGGAGAAAATTAGTCCTCAATCAGTTACAGTGGCTGATGGGAACCACATTGCTTGTCAGCATAAGTGTTCCAAATTTGAATGGGTGATGAATAAGAGAAACTTTGAGGCAGAAGTTATGCTTATTTCTTTGGGAGGTTGTGACATGGTGTTGGGAGTTCAATGGCTGAGTACTTTGGGACAGATTAATTGGGATTTTAAAAAAATTGCTTATGCGGTTTGATTTGGATGGAGAGGTGTTTTCTTTGAAAGGGATTCCACCTAAGAAAGTACAGGTAGTTGATGGAAAACCTGATGCTAAGGTATTAGCTAATGCAGCTCATTTGTGTTTGTTACAAGTGGTGGATATGGATATAGGTTCTTTGGAATCTGAATGTATTCTGTCTTCAAATGAGCTTGACTGTAGTTCAGTTTCTGAGTTACAAGATCTTAAGGATCAATTCAGTGATATTTTTGCTGATCCTGCAGAGCTGCCACCCCTTAGAGGTGTCTTTGACCATAAGATTCCTCTAGTTCCTAATGCTAGTCTTGTCAATATAAGGCCTTATAGATATCCATTAAAACAAAGAGATGTGATTGAGCAACTTATTCAAGAAATGGTTGATAGAGGGATAGTTCAAAATAGCTCAAGTCCTTTTGCTTCACCTGTGGTGTTGGTGGGTAAGAAAGATGGAACATGGGTGCTATGTGTGGACTACAGGGAGCTAAACAAGAGAACTGTCAAGGATAAATTTCCAATTCCAGTTGTGGAATAATTGATTGATGAGCTTGCTGGTGCAAAAGTGTTCACTAAACTGGATTTAAGGCCTAGTTATCATCAACTTAGGGTGCATCCAGATGATATATACAAAACTGCATTCAAAACAAATATTGGGCATTTTGAATTTCTGGTTATTCCCTTTGGGCTGACTAATGCTCCTACATCTTTCCAGAACTGGATGAATCAGGTTTTTAAACCATTGTTGAGGAAATGTGTGTTGATATTTTTTGATGATATACTAGTTTATAGCAGCAGTTGAGTGACCATTGGGAGCATTTGTCTGAAGTTTTTAGTTTAATGAGACAACATAAAATGTTTGCAAAAGAAAGCAAGTGTTCTTTTGCAATGGAAAAGGTTGAATACCTGGGTCATTTTATTTCTGCAAAAGGAGTAGAGACAGATCCTAAGAAAATTGAGGTTGTTTCTAAATGGCCAGTACCCAAGTCAGTTAAAGAATTGAGAACTTTTTTGGGGTTATCTGGTTATTATAGAAAGTTTGTGAAGAATTATGCTGTGATCTGCAGGCCCTTAAATGAGTTACTTAAAAAGGGTTCTTTCTCTTGGAATTCTTTAGCTCAACAAGCCTTTGAAAGTCTGAAATTGGCATTAGTTTCTTCTCCTGTGTTAGCAGTTCCTGATTTTACAAAACAATTTATAGTTGAGACAGATGCTTCTCAGTTGGGTATTGGTGCTGTTTTGGTTCAGGAAGGGCATCCCTTGGCTTATATTAGCAAAACTTTGGGGCCAAAGGGTCAGAAATTGTCAGTATATGAGAAAGAGCTGCTGGCTATTGTTTTTGCAGTGCAAAAGTGGGAACAATATTTAACTGATAATCATTTTTTGATCAAAACTGATCAGAAGAGTCTTAAATGGCTTTTAGAACAGAAGATTTCTACACCATTTCAGCAGTTTTGGTTATCCAAGCTGATGGGATTCGATTATGAAATGCAGTATAGGAGGGGTCAGGAAAATTTAGCAGCAGATGCTCTATCGAGGAAGCAAGGGTCTGTTATGATTTTGATGGCTATTTCAGTAATCTCTACTGATCTTGTCTCTCAGATCAAGTCAAGTTATCATTTGGATTTTAACTTGATTGAAATAATTGAGGAATTACAGGATGTGACTGTTTTTGCTGGGTTTTCACTAAAAAATGGATTATTGAGGAAGAAAAACAGAATAGTTGTGGGGCCAGATGAACAGCGAGCTGAGACTGAAATTGATTAACTGGCAACATTCTTCTCCTGAAGGTGGTCACTCTGGCAGGGAATTAACTGTTAAAAGGTTGAAATGTTTGTTTCACTGGAAGGGTATGACAAATCATGTTAGACAGTTCATAAGAAGTTGTCAAGTTAGCTTCTAAATATGATAATGCTGCTAGCCCAGGGTTGTTACAACCTTTTCCAATTCTAGAGGAAGTTTGGTATGATATTTCCATGGATTTTATTACAGGTTTGCCTAAATCTGTAGGGAAAACAGTGATATTTGTGGTGGTTGATAGACTTAGTAAATATGCTCATTTTATAGCTTTATCACACCCTTTTACTGCTGTTCAAGTGGCATAGGCTTATCTTGATAATGTGTTCAAGTTACATGGTTGGCCAAGGAGTATAGTTAGTGATAGAGATTCTGTCTTCTTGAGCAATTTCTGGAAGGGATTATTTTCTCTTTATGGGACAGAATTTTTGTTATCTTCTGCTTATCACCCTCAAACAGATGGGCAGACAGAAGTGGTTAACAGGTGTTTGGAGACTTATTTGAGGTGTATGTGTGGAGAAAATTCCAAGTAGTGGAGCTTGTGGTTACCTTAGCTGAGTGGTGGTACAATACTCATTTCCACACTTCTATTCAGTTAACTCCTTATGAGGTTGTATATAATCAGCCACCTCCTTTACATTTGCCATATTTGGCTGGAGAATCAGTCAATGAGGTTGTTGACAGGAGCTTGTTAAAAATGGAAGCTATGATTGATACTCTCAAGTTTCATCTAAGAAGGGCTCAATCTAGAATGAAGTCTCAGACTGATAAGCACAGGACAGACAGGGAATTTTCAGTTGGAGAATGGGTTTGGCTGAAGCTGCAGGATTATAGACAGCAGACTGTAGTTAGGAGAAGTAACCAGAAATTGGCTTATAAGTATTTTGGTCCTTTTCAAGTTGCTGCTAAGGTGGGGAAATTTGCATACAAACTGTCTCTGCCAAATGATGCTCAAGTGCATGATGTTTTTCATGTCTCACAGTTGAAGAAATTTCATGGCACTTTGCCTATAGCTGCACATATTCCATCCTGGTTTCAAGGGCTACATGATTCTGTGTTCCCTAAACCTGCTGCTATTTTGGCTACAAGGATGGTGAAGCATCAAAATCAAGCTGTCATTCAATATTTGGTACATTGGGATGGTTTTCCTGATCATGAAGCTACTTGGGAGTTATCCATTGAATTTGAACAAAGATACCCAGATTTTGTGTTGCCTGAGTATTGAGGACAAGCCTCTTCTTGATGGGGGAAAGTATGTTAGGGGTAGAATAGTCTTTTCATATTTGTTTGTTATAACTAACTTTCTGTTTCAGTTGTTAATAGTTAGTTAGCTGGGTATAATCGATTAGAAAGCTATATAAGCTAATCTTGTTCTTTCTATTTCAATGAATCATATATTGAAACAGAAATCTCCTTTCTCTCTCTCTCTCTAGTTTCTCTCTTCTTTTCTCTCTCTTTCCTCTGTTTTCTAGTAGTCAACATAGTTGACATATCGTAGTATTATCATCCTACATCACCCCTCCATCCTGACCAACTTGGTCCAGCTGATGTGTCTATTTTATATAGTATTTTACCCCCGTCCCTTGGTCATAATTAGTAGTGTTTTTGGCTCTTTAGAGCCACTTTTATTACTAATTGGTGTTTTCTAGTGTCTTCGTAGATTTGGTTGACTTTTGCAGGGATTTATGCTTTTGGAGTATTTTCCCGGGATATTTTAGAGCAACTACGGAAGCTAGAAGGACGCAACCACTTTTGGAGCCCAGGATCGGTGAGAGTCGGTGATTAAGGGCTCGGTAATTGGGATCCCGAGGCGTTTGGACCAAGTATTCGAGACCCAAGAGGAAACCCAAATTGGGCCGAGAAATCTAGCCCAATCGAAGTCCAAGCCTCAAGAGGAGCAAAGACCCGATCGGGCAACCTCTAGCCCGATCGGCGCGGCAAACCATAGGGCTGCATGCTAAGGCGCGCCCGATCGTGCGAGCATCTAGCACGATCGGGCGATGCTTCTTGGGAAGAACGCGAAGAAAAAGGCGCGCCCGATCGGGTGCGCGTTTCTGGAAGACCTGATTTAGTTTAGTTTTAATTCTTGTTTTAGGAAACGTTTAAATACGATTTTGTACGGAATTATTAGACTACCTTCTTTCTTAGACTTTCTCTCTCTACTTAGGATCTTTTTTCTCTCTTAACTCTTCTCTCTCTCTTAACTCTTCTCTCAACTTTTGTTCTTGATTATTCCCATTAATACAGATTAGTTTGGTAACGATTTTTCTTCTCTTAATCTTGTTTCCTTTCATCATGACTTATTTTATTGCTTTGATTTGCTTAGTTTTTAATATGTGTGAGTAGTTTTATTTCTAGGGTTTATGTGGATCCATAAATAATATGAAGGGGTAATTTATTGTTGTTAATTATCAATGCTAGATTAATTTCCTATTGATTGATTTAATGCTCTGTGACTAGATTTGCGCAGATCTTTTATGCATGAGTTTAACAATATTGATTCGAGATTCGACAGATGAGAATTGATGTTTAGGGGTCTAGTTTCAATAGGCAGGTTAATTTATAAATGGTTAAGTCGAGATTCGAGAGATGAGATTTAATACCGGTAGATTAATTCTGTGATTGTAATACGTAGCGAAAGCCCTTTACAATCTGGTTAATTGATGCATTGATGATTGACTATTATTGATTATTGGTATTGCATGATAATTTCTTATTGAATTGTTTTAACGTTTTACAATTGCGGCTTGTAAAAGTATAGCAATATTAAATTGATGAATCGAGCAGATGTTAATTTGATATTAAAGGCTATTTTCAATAAGAACTTAGATCTAGTAAATTGCGAGAGCCTGTTAGATCTATGTTGATTAATAAATTGCGAGAGCCTGTTAATCGTGTTATTTATGCAATGTCAATGATTGATTACTATGTTTTACCCTGGAGTATTATTTATTGGTGAACCTATGCCCTAGATCCTTTTATATATTGTTTACTCCCTATTCCTATTCTTTGTAGTTTGGTTTCATACTCAAATATAAATATTGGTTACTTAGATAATTTAGATTATAATAATTAATTAGGAGTAAAAAGACTTGTTTCCCTGTGGAGATCGACCCTACTTCCCTATCTACTTTAGTTAGAGGATTTAGGTATTTACTTTTGATTAGGGGATACGACTTTACCCTGTCACCAGCCAAACAAATCTTTCCTCCAATCACTGACCCCCCACTCCGCTACTGAAAATCTACCCCCGTCCCTAATAGCTGCGATTGCATCCCCTCCTTCACCCCCTGCTACCTTTGACCCTTCTTCCCATCTTTCCCTAACCATAAACCCTTCTGACACACCCAAACTAGTATCACCTTGGATCAATTCAGTAACCTTCAAAGTTGTAGGGAAATCCCTTTCCTTTGACTACCTGAAACAAAAAATCATTCCTTTATGGAAACTTCCAGAATCGATAAAAATTAACACTTTGGGAAAGGGCTTCTATAACATCAACACCCCTTCTCCACAAGAGCAACAGCGCATTCTCGGTGGTGGTCCTTGGTTTATTGGCAAACTATTGGTTCATGTACAACCGTGGACCCCGGGCTTTCGAGCTTCGGAAGCCAGAATCACAACCGCCCCTGTTTGGATAGCCCTACCGGAATTGCCGATTGAATTCCATAACCAGGACATTTTACGGCAGATAGGAAACAAGGTTGGCTCCTTTATCAAGTCAGATCCATACCCTCTATT